CTCCACTGACCACAAGGTGCTTACTGTGAATGGGAGCCTATATCTGAACCAGTGTTCAAGAGCAGTAGTGACATGAGGCATGGAGTGTTTGATGGCAAGGTTCTAAAACAATGAATGCTAACAGTGCTTGATTGAATGGTATTTATGTATTTGTTTACCTCTCAGATACCATTTGAATTTCTGCTATGGGCAAAGCTCAGTACTAAGTACCATGTCAACTTCAAAGAATTGGGAAGTTCACAATAATGTAAATAAAATACTTTTTTTCTTAATGCCACTGAAGAGATAAAGGCATTAATTAATTGCTTGTAATAGGCTGGAGAGGTCCACATAAAGAACTTTATTAATGCTTCTTAACTCTCATTTTGTTTCCTGGTCTTTACTTTCTGTCTTGTCTTTGTGCACCAGTGAATTCCCACTGTTGTAGGTAGGTATATGGGAAGGTTCTCATCTGTGAGGCAGGCCTGCCCAGTGTTTCATCATCAGGCTGGAAAGGGTCAAAGCCTTCTCAAACGTGAGATTGAATATTTGATTATTCAAATAATTTGTTATTTCCAAATTATCCTTTCATTTTCTTAGAGAAGAAAACTTATTTAGTATAGTTTTGAATTAATTATGATAGCTTTTTTAACCTTTTCAGTTGTTGAATTTTGTATGTTTCATAATTCTTAATATGAATACAGCCAAAAATCTCAGTGATTAATAAAGCCCATCAAAATTTGATGATTGATTTGAATCTTTACAAATCAGTAGGGATAGGAAAGAAGAGAATCATAGAATTATTAAATTTTAATACTGGAAAGAATTTTGAAGATTTAAAAATACTTTTCTAAATCATAAAATTTTAAAAACTATTTGAATCAAAATATTTACATTTTAAAAAAGTATTTTTAATTTTTAATATGTCTGTATTTTATATAAGGAAATTGAGGCTCAAAAAATGAATGAGAAGTATGAGTAAATGTGATAAATGTTTAGCAAGCTTAGAAGTGTTTTAATAATTACATAACAGGAGCTTGCTTTTTTCCTGACAGTTTTGGTGGTAATATTGCAAAAGAAACTTATTTTTTTTTAACCACTAGGGAATGCTGAAATGTCAACTGATCAACTGTAATAGAAAAAGAAAAATTAAAATTTTTTTAAAATTTTGATTATTTCATATTTTCTGTTTAGCAAAATGAAGTGACACCATCTTTAGGTTCAAGATAAGAGGAAATTTAATGTTAAGGATGCTATTTTTGATTATTGGAAGTTATACCATTTCATAGTGATTATAACTCAGAGTATGCCTATAGATAAACACATTTTATTCTTCCTTGCCCCTAGATTTGTGAGTATATATATTTCCCAGAAAATCTTTCTCCCTTAGTTGAGCAAAACTGAGTCTATATTCGTGGATGTACTGGATTGGAACCTATTTTTGTAATTTGTTGAGAAGCAAGCATTGTCACACTGGTTTAACCCTCAGTAGAATGTCCAGCCTCAGTTCCCTGTGGGCTGTGTAGCTGTTGAAGAAGGGTGTAGGACTTCTAAGACAAACTGCATCTAGAGATTTAGTCAGGAAATTTGGATTTGTGACTTTTCCAATTTTTTTCTTCATTTTTTTGTGGTTTAAGTTGTTTTTGACTATAGTCAGAGAATGAGGTGTCTTTGTAGATGAATACTCCAGGGACATTAAAACAAACAAACAAACAAACATTCCCAGTATAGTCAAAAATCAGTCAATCAACCTATTTATCTATACACAGAATTAAACTTATTGATTATCTATTTCAAATCCTTTGTTTCCTTAATTAACATAACCTGCCAAATATTGTTACAGTACTCTACTATGATCAGATTTTTATCATATTTTCCTCTGTATTTCTAGAAGTTTTAACTTTAGATGCTTGCCTGCTATATTGCTTGTTCATAAAGTTTTTATTTAAGGAAATACAATTAAACTTAATAAGTGGAGAGAGAGATACTGGGCAACCAATGGAAAGAATTACCATCATTATAATGAACATCCTTTCTAAATTATATGTAAATTTAATGTCATTCTGGCCAGAAACTCAAAAGTTTTATTGTTATTGTTGTTTGTTTTCTTTTTCTGAAAAAGGGAACTGATTAAGATATTAATATAAAAGTAAGTTGGTGAGAACACATGGGGCACTTAACCACTGAGCCACATCCCCAGCCCTATTTATGTTTTATTTTGAGACAGGGTCTCCCTAAGTTGCTTAGCCTCACTAAGTTGCTGAGGTAGGCTTTGAACTTGTGATCCTCCTCTCTCAGACTCCCAAGTCACTGGAATTACAGATGTGAGTCTCCATGCCTGGCCCTAAAAGTATTTTTTAAAAATATAAGAGTAGTTGGGGTGGGGAGATTCCTTTATTATGTGTTTAAATTACCATAATGCTGTAGTAATAAAAATAGTGACACAAAAAATACAGAATTAAGTCAATTGACTATAAAACAGATTTTATCTAGCATTATAAGACATTCATATATGATAAAGGCCATATTTCATTTCTCTGGGAATAGGCATAATTGGGTATACTTGGGTATTTTAAAGAGAACAAAAGTAGTGTTCTTCAGATAATAAATGAAAATGAAATAATACTAAAGAAATTTTAGGAGGCTATATTTTTGAGATGGGGAAAACCTTCACAGATGAAGTAGGAAATAGAGATAAAATAAAGGAAAATACTGACATGTTAACTATATGAAATTTAAAATTTTCTTTCTAAAATAATACATCATAAATTATACTAAAATGTTTCATCACCTGTTTGACAGCCAGAGATTTGATAACTCTAATCTTTAAATAGGAAAGCAGACAATCGATTAGAAAAATAAACAAGGTTGTGAACAGGTAGTTCAGAAAAGAAAAAAACCTGTATTATCAAAACAAAATGAAGATGCTCCATTCTAGTAGGCAGGAAGTAAAAAATCAAAATAACAGTGAGAAAAAAGTTTTTACTTATTCTGAAGAGCAAAATTAAAAGAGTCTAAGTGTATTGGGTACTATGAAGGTGATACAGAAATGGACGCCAGCATGCTCTGTGGTAAGTGGAGACTGGCATAGTGTCCTGGCCTGAACTACTTATATCTCTTTAATGTGTCCTTATTTTATGATGTATCACTCAGCCACTTTTTGTTCAATATCCTCCATTTGTTTGCCCCTTTATAACTTGTGCCAGTCCAGACTGATAACTGGTAGAAAGCTGTCACACAGTTCTCCAATTAGGGACCCTATGAAGTCTTGAGCCTCAGTTGCTCCCTTAAAGATTCAGCAACCCCTTTGCTTTCCCTAGTTACTTTTCTCCTTAAAGGCAAGTGGTATTTCTGTTCTCCTCTGTCTTTAAATCTTTAATGCTGCCACCTTTCCCTTTAGGAGCAGATGGCTGCACCTCCAGATCCATAAGGGAAAATGGAAACTCCACATACTACCGGCCACTAAACATGCAATGTTCTTCCTCTTCCTTTTCTAAGGCTAGCAGGCCCCCTGTTTTGGGGATCCCAGCCCTGTCTATCTGCCTGAGGAGAAAAGGAAGATGCCCTCCACTTTTCCTCATATGTCCCCTGATAGTACATACAGTGGCCTACAATACCCACACCCTCAGGTTTTTTGTTACCTTTCTGACCTCTGTGTGTTATACAGGTACTTGTAGATGGACAGAAAGAAAGAAAGACATTGTAGAATAATGAAAAAGCAACATGAGCTGAATTGAATAAGAACACCTCTAGAGTAAAGATGAAAGAAATGATGGAGAAAACCTAAAAGCAACCCACTCTTCTCCCCAGGCTTGGAGGAAAGTAGGGAACATTTTACTCTTACTTAAGCAAATGTTTTAGTCAACTTTTTCATTGCTGTGACCAAAAGAACTGACAAGAACAGTTTTGAGGAGGACAAGTTTATTTGGGGCTCATGGTTTCAGAGGTCTCAGTCCATAGATGGCCGACTCCATTTCTCTGGGCCCAAGATGAGACAGAACATCAAGGTGGAGGGTGTGGTGGAGCCAAGCAGCTCAGGGCATGACAATCAGGAAGCAGAGCAAGAACTCTTGCTTAGGCTCACCAGGGACAAAATAAACAGCCCAAAGGTACACCACAGGGGACCCTCCCCATCTCCAACTACACCCTATCTGCCTGTAGTTACCACCCAGATAATCCTTATCAGTGGGTTAATTCACTAATTATATTAAGATTCTCATGACCCAATCATTTCCCCTCTAAAGTTTCTTGCATTATCTTTCACAGGGCTTTTGAGAGACAATTCAAATTTAACTGTAACACCAAATCAAGATTTAGTTTTTAGAGCTGACAGACTTTACCATTGTAGTTTCTTAGCAAATTATAAACCTGAAGGTTGTACTTTGATATTTGTATTCAATTTCACTTTTCTATAAATAAGTGAGAAATAAAACTTTTATCTGGAAACTAGTGCTTCCTAGGTATGTTCTTTTCAAAACTAATTTGGGGATGCGGTTTGGGAGGAAGTGAATATGTCTTCAGTGTGCTGACATGCTTTGTGGATTTCTACAAGCAGGCTGACTAGACAGTGTGGTGGTTTCCAACTTCATGACTGTTTCAGAGTTCTTTCTGCACTTTCCTCTCTTCCCTTTCTCTAATGTATGTCATGTATCCTAAGGAAAATAGTTTGAGAAATGTTGTAGGACATAGATAAATATGTAGTGCTGAGGGAAAAAAAGAAGAAAAATCCAACTGAAGATGCACAGTAGCATGACTATTGATCATTTTCTATTCCTTTTCAGGTTATTTGCTTTTATGACTGTATATATTTTGAAGATAGCAAATGAGATTTTTAAAAATGAAATGTATTTTGACAAATACTTTGGAGAAATAAATTATTTTGTAAATAAGCATAAGTAAATTCTAGTGTGGCTGAAAGAGTTGTAGTTCTGAAAGATTGTCATGTTATATTATTTTAAGGTTTTATTAGGTTGCACTGGATTTCTGATATTTGAGTTGTGCTTTCTTATCCTCTTTTCCAGTGGAAGTCGATTGGGAGGCCTGGTTACAGTGTTATGCTTCTTTTTCAATCATGGAGAGGTAGGTGGTCAGAAAATGCTTTCAGAATTAACCTTCCTTAAATTTCTTTAAATTTAATCTGTAGTAGCATTCTTTAAATGTTTGATCTTATTATTTTGACCCAAAATTTAAGTGGTAATATTTTATTTTAAGTTGACTTTGCATGACCCTTATATCTTTTACATGATATTGTTATTACTGGTTTGAGAAAATAGTGGATCTATAACAATTCTTTTTAAAATGATAAAAGCTCATATTTTAGGAACAATATACTTTTAATTGTTCTTTAAGGAATTTTTATTATACCTACACATTTGCAAATGTCTGTGGGCTTTCTGAATAAAATAGCATTGTGAAGTACAAAGATTCTGGATCAGGTTGCCTGGGTTCAGATCCTGACTGTCATTTAGTAGCTGTGCTAGCTGAGCAAGTCATTTCATTTCTCTGTGCCTTTATTTCCTTTTGGCAATTGGCATAATGATGTTCTAGTTTTATAGGAGAATTTTTACAGTAAGTAAATGAATTCACTTGTGTAAAATGCCAAAAGCAATGTTTGGAACATAACTGTTAACTTGAAGTGTTATTTTTACTTATTATTACTATTACGAAAAGTTTAGTTAAAATTAAATTTTAATATAAATTCAAAGTGACAGTGACTTCTTTCCTTTAATCATATTTGTAAACAACTTTCTACTAAATATATCTCTGTTCAGAAAGGTCAGCTTGCTTTTTGTCAAGTGACTTCATCTTTTCTTAGTTTATACACTGAGTGTCTTCAATATTTGAATGTGTGCATATTAAAAAGCTCTTAAGAGTAAGTAATCATGCAAAGTTAATGTACTTTACTAATGGTAGTCCACTAATATGCACTTAATTCTCTGGAATCACAGAAGTATAAAGCTGGAGTGGCCTTATAGATGAGAAGATGCTTGACAAATGATTGCTGTGTAACATAAGTTATTTAGTGTAGTGTGAGTTTTGAGGAAAGAAAAGAAAAGAATAATTTGACTTTTCCTTACTGGATGCTGTTCATTGTGATAGTATGGACTATGAAACATTTGGAAGCAAAGATTCTTTAAAAATGACTAAGAAATGGGATATAATGGCTTAATAATAGAAGAAAGAAGCATTGTGTATTAACAACAATATGCTGGAGAAAAGGGATTATTTAACGTTTTTGAGCCAAGATGCAGTTAGAAAGACCACTGTTCGTAAGCACAAAGGTTCATTGTGTTACCCTCCATGTCTAACTGCGATTGTTAATTCCTTATCTTATGTTTTTCTTATAATTTTGATGCTCGTGTAGCAAGAACATCATTTCTTACAAAATCTTTTCAGTTTTTAACAATGGAATTCAAACTACTTAGCTGAGTTTTCAGACTGATGGATTTTCTTTTTGCTACTTTTTCAGCTAACTTGGGTTTATTTCAACATGCTTAGACATCACTTTTTTAAGAAAAAATAAATATGATTAGAATTAGAATTGTAGTCTTATTGAAATAAGCAAATAAACAATTGCATTTAGATGTAATGTAGCTTTAAAAGTGACTTCTTTTTGTGGAATATCGTCTATTTAAAAAGTGATAGTGTAAACTGCAGTTTGGGGGAAAAGGGTTATTGAGTGCTCAAGTAATTGAAAACATTATTTTGAATATATTTTGGCTTTCAGATTATGAGATTTTCAGACCTTTTTTTCTGATTTTTAAAAATGTTGGCTAAAGTATGCAATTTTTATATGAATGGAAGCATTTACTCTGGTAATGCCTATTCATGTATCTAGTGAGCTTTCTTCACTAAAATTGCTGTTGGTTAATGACTAGTATCTTACTGTTATAGAAGAAATGTTTCAATCACTTGACTGAATTGCTTATGTGTCCCCCAAATAGTTGTAAATTGTTACTTGCTTTTTAGTTCTATTCCATTATTTAGTTTGTTCTGTACTGGATATATAATATACTTAAAATTTTTTTTTTCCCTCAGAGAGAAATTTTTGCCTTAACAAAGTAGGAAATATATAGCACAAATATATTAATCAAATTATTTAAAACAAAGCCTTCAAATATGAAAAGTGAAAATAAAGGGGCTATAAGTTGCCCAAAGTAATGATCAATCATATTGAGGTTATGTATTCCATAATCAATTATATAGATGTTTTTACTTATCAGGCTTCTTATGTTACTTATATAATATTTGGAAAAAAATTCTCAAAATACTTTGAACAATCTTGATGACCCTTATGTAATATTCTTTTGTAATAAATAAATAGAAAATAATATGCCATTATGCATTAAAATGAAAGCACTAAAAGATAAGTGATTAGCTCAAAAATAAAATAAAAATTTTATTTTTAATTTTTATTTATTTTAATTGATGAATTATTGAGTGTATTTTTGGAGTATAGTCAAACTGTACTCCAAAGAGTCAAAACTAGTAACTATACTCCTTACCTTATCAATATTTTTATAAGAATGTTAAAAAGCTATTTTTATAGCAATTTTGAATTATACAATGCATAAACTGTGGTCACTGTGTAATACAATAGATCACTAAAACTTTTTCTTTTAATCCAGTTGGAACTTGGTGCTCTTTGGTTAATTTTCTCTGCTTTCCCATCCCTCTCTTTTCCCCTTGTTCCCAGCCCATTAACTTACCATTTTGTTCTTTGTTCCAATCAGTTTGATGTTTTTGGATTCCATATATATATGAGATCATATGGTATTTATCTTCACTTTCATTTACAGGTTTTCACATTTTGCCACATTTGCTTTCTCTTACACACCCCTGCACACAGACATTTTTCTGATCCATTGGAAAATGAGTTGCAGACATGATGACATCTTACCCCCCAATACCTCAGTATCTATTGCCTGAAAGCAAGGCAAGTCCTATATAATCACAGTTTACCTTTATCATCATACTCAGGAAGTTCAATACTGAAAATTATGCAATAATAACTTATTATAGTCCATATTTATATTTCCACAGTTTTCCCAGTAGGTTCCTTTATGCCTATGTTTTGGATATAGAATCGGATTAAGATCATACATTGCATTTGGTCATGATTTTATCTAGAACAGTTTATCTGAAACAGTTCTCCTGCCCTTTTCTTTTCCTTGGCATTGACGTTTTTGGGGAGTCCAGGTCTATTATTTTGTAGAAGCCCCACAAATTAGATTCGTCTTATTATTTCATCACTAATGGGTTTAGATTAGATATTTTTGTGAACAACATGATGTAGATGAGGTTGTGTCTTTTTCATTGTAGTGCATGTGGAGGCATGTAAGACCAGTTTGTCCCATTATTGAGTTTACTTGGTCATATGGTTAAGGTGGCGACTGTCAAGATGTATCTATTATAAGAATGCTTTTTTCCTTCTACATTGATTAAGAGGTTGTGGGTTGATACTTTGAGCCACTGAATATCCTGTTCCCTTATAACATTTGACCACAAGGTTATACTATCCATTGATGATCCTTTCCTGAGTTAGTCCTTTCATTGACCATTACTAATAGTAATTTTTAATCCTTCCTTCCTTCCTTCCTTCCTTCCTTCCTTCCTTCCTACTGGGAATTGAACTTAGTGGTTCCCACATGCTAGGAAAGTGCTTACTACCAAGCCATATTCCTAGCACTATTTTATTTAATCCAATTAACCTAATGCCTTTTGTTAAAAAGACCATTCTTTTTAGTGGTGCTTTTGTCATAAATAAAGTGACTATATATTTCTGAGTTTGTTTTTAGACTCAATTCTGTTCCATTTGTCTGCTTATCTTTAAGCTAGTATCACACTAAATAGGTAGCTTTGTATATTTGATATCTGATAGCAAAGTCTCCAACCTTGCTCTTCTTTAGTATTACCATAGCTCTTCAGATCCTTTGTGTTTTTGTATAAATCTTAGAATCAGCTTGTCATTATTGCTTTCTTCCTCAACACAAACTCAACCTTTCAGGATTTTAATAGTGATCACTCTGAATCTCTAGATTAGTTGGGAAAATTTAGATCCTAAATATATTGAATCAGCTCTACTCCATGAACATGGCTATATCTCTTCATTTGTATCAGTTTACTTTAATTTCTCTCAGCAGTGTTTTGTGTCTTGTACTTCTTTTGTTGGATTAATTCCAAGGTGCTTAATACTTTTGGTTACTGTTCTTAGTCCCTTAGTGCTTTTGTGTGTCCTTCAGTCTTTGAAGGCTTCTACTGTCCTAGTATTGCCTTGTACTTTCTTGTCCCCAGATATAGAATCAGTTATTTTCCAAGGAATCCTGGATCCTGTTAGTGGAAAATGATATTTAGAGACCAGAGTCTGGGTAATAAACACTTCCATTTCCTCAAACATCAATAATTTCTGTGTTCTGGAAATTTTTGTACATCTCTGGTTATTTTGGAATATATTATATGTTGTTATAACTAATAGTTACCCTATTTCCAACAAACCCACTATTGGGTATGTAGCCAAAGGAAATGAAATCAGTATATAATAGACACACCTGCATTTCCGTGTTCATTGTAGCATTATTCACAGTAACCAAGGTAGGAATTTGCCAATGTGTCCATCAACTCATGAATGGAGAAGAAAAATGTTGTCTTTCTCTTTGTTCTCACACAAGGAAAGACATCTATCCTTGTGTGTCTTTCTCAGTAAGATTTCTTATTTCCCAATTTTGCTGTTTGTTAAAAGTCCAGTAACTTGTTTTATAATATGTCATTTAAATTATGTGTGAGATGTACTTCTCTTTGCATTTATAAATAGCAGCTTTCACTTCTGTGTCTTACTTAGCAAATTTAGCAAGTATATCATACACTCTGATTGTTCTTTTTTCAGTGTACCCGTGTGATGTGGACACCGCCTCTCCGCGAAAGCTTTTCATATCCTTTCCTTGTACTTCAGATGTTGCTTGTGACTCATATTCTCAGGTAATATTTATTTGTCCTTAGGTTTTCTGGTGTTCCTCCCCCCAATAACCTAAAGTAGTGTTTTTTAAGTTTCCATAATAAAAAAGCCAACATAATAAATTAATTAAGATGACCTTGTTATGTTGAATTAGTAAAGATACTTTAAAAGTGTAACTTGCAAATCCATAGTACTGGAGACGTTTCCTCTGTCTGCCTTCTAGTCCTCTTGCTTTCTCTTAGTGGTCCGCAGTGACTGCTCAAGGAAAACTTTCACTTCTTCTCTGCTTACCCAAGTCTTTTTTTGTTACCACTACAGTCTCCCAAAAGTGGGCAGAAAGATAGGGAGATTATTTGTGCTATATTTTAATCTTGTAAGATATAGTCCTTTGAAGTCAGGAACACCTCACACAGTCGTCATCATCAGGTACATAACACATGTAGTTTGTCTTCCTATATTTGTTTAGTATCCCTGACTGTCAGATAGTAGGAATAGAAGGAAAACTCCCCAGTAGACCAGAGATGTTCTAGGAGAATTCATGCTAGAAGTTCAGGCTTTTCCTGTTCATCTGATCTTCAGCTAGTTCAAGCACCAGTGAGAGCAGGGGAGAACATTTCCCCTTCTGTTGACATACTGAGTTTCCATATACATTGCCTTGCTTCAGAGGGTAAATATAAAACAAAATGGAGCCTGTAGAAAAAGAGAACAAAATATGATAAAAATATGACGCTGTCTGGGACTCAGAATGCCCTTCAGTGGTCCGTTGAATTCAAAAGAAACTTGTTAAAGTCTGTTATGCTCAATAATTTACCTGTGTAATGACCTCAGCAGGTATAGCATCAGTACATGGCCTCCAGTCCCCTACATCGTGTCTTCACATAGATCTTTCACAGGTGGGATGGGAGATGACTTTTGTATTATCAGCTTTTTAAGTCTGCAACTCTAGCTTTATTGCTGTCTCTTAAATCCTCTTTTATTATTGGATTTTAAGCTTCTGTAGCATCTTCAAATAAAGTAAATGTTTATGAAGTAATAACCTTTAGCTCTGCCCTGTTGGTTTTGGGGCACCTTGAGACATAGTCTCTCTTCAGACTTTCTGGAAGAAATGTTGTGCTGTAGGAGAGTGAGTGACCATACCTGAAGCATTTTTCCACATCCATGTTCTTGATCTTAGCTTTTTTCCCTGTGGTGAACACACTGGTTTACCCATTAGTGTCTCAGTCCAGTTTTTCTTCTGCCTCTGCTCCTGTTTTAAATCCAGTGAAGGCAAACCTTCGATTCTTCTCCTGTTTACTCTCTAATCTGATGTAACCTGTGGAGCTTGAATGGTGCTGCTTCATTTGCTGAGTCCATCTGTACTGTCTTAGTTTCTTGTTGCTGTGATGACAAATTGCCACAAACTTTGATTTATTACTTTATAGTTCTATAAGTCAGAGGTCCTAAACCTCAAGATGTTGGCAGGGATGCTCTCCTCCTGGAGTGCATCCTAGGGTGGGGGCCGGGGGAGTCATTTACTACTTGCCTTTTTCGAGCTTCTATAGGCTGCCTGAATTTCTTGGCTCAGGGTCACTTCCATCATCAAAGCCACCAATGGAGGATTGAATTCTTCTTCTGTCAGTTCACTCCAATGTTCTCTGCTGCTGCTTTTCTTACTTTTAAGAACTCTTTTGATCTGGGCATGGTGACACATGCTTGTAATCCTAGCTACTAGCCCGTAATCTCAGCTTGAACGTCTGAAGAATCTAATGCAGAAGAATCAAAAAATTGAGCCCAGCTTGGGCAATTTAGTGAGACTCTCTCAAAATAAAAAAGGCCTGCAGAGGTAACTCAATGGCAGACTGCTAGGTTCAGTCCCCAGTATTACCAAACAAAACAAACCAATCAAAACCCTTGTAATTACATTGGGCCTTCCTGGATAATCCTGGATAATTTCTCTCTCTTTACATCAGGTGATTATAAATCTTAATTTCATTTGCTACCTTAGTTCCCCTATACCATGTCAAGTGACATGCACAGGTTCCAGGAATTAGGATGAGGTCATCTCTGGAAGCCATTATTTTACCTACCACAAGTGAGGTTGCTCCAATTGCTATTTCATGCATTCAGGGGCTGCTTAATGTTGGGTTCTTCTCTTGATTTGTTCTTCAAGGACTTCTGTTTCAAGCTCTTCTTTTAGTCTTCCAAATAAATCATAAGAAATCTTCATACTCTGTTTTTATCTTGGTTGATGTCTTCCTTTTCATATTCCTCATTATGCTGCTTTTGCCAGTGCTGGTTCATCATCATCTTGATCCTTCTTAACACCTTCATTGGCAGCTCTCAGTTAAGGGGGCAACTTTCCTTGTTTCTTTTCTTCTTGTTGGCATGACTCCCTACTTACCTAGCATGGCTGGTGTGACTGGTTGCTGGAAGTGGACTGGCTCTACTTTTATTTTCCTGAAGTGACAGTTCCACTTTGGGAAGTGCAGCCTTTTTTTTTTGTTTTTTTTTTTTCACTTATTTATTTATTTATTTATTTATTTTTCTTTTCTTTTTTTTTCTTTTTTTTTTATTGGTTGTTCAAAACATTATAAAGCTCTTGACATATCATATTTCATACATTAGATTCAAGTTGGTTATGAACTCTCAATTTTACCCCAAATACAGATTGCAGAATCACATCGGTTACACATCCACATTTTTACATAATGCCCTATTAGTAACTGTTGTATTCTGCTACCTTTCCTATCCTCTACCATCCCCCCTCCCTCCCCTCCCATCTTCTCTCTCTACCCCATCCACTGTAATTCATATCTCTCCTTGTTTATTTTCCCATTCCCCTCACAACCTCTTATATGTAATTTTGTATAACAATGAGGGTCTCCCTCCATTACCATGCAATTTCCCTTTTCTCTCCCTTTCCATCCCACCTCATGTATCTGTTTAATGTTAATCTTTTCTTCCTGCTCTTCCTCCCTGCTCTGTTCTTAGTTGCTCTCATTATATCAAAGAAGACATTTGGTATTTGTTTTTTAGGGATTGGCTAGCTTCACTTAGCATAATCTGCTCTAGTGCCATCCATTTCCCTGCAAATTCTATGATTTTGTCATTTTTTAGTGCTGTGTAATACTCCATGGTGTATAAATGCCACATTTTTTTTATCCATTCATCTATTGAAGGGCATCTGGGTTGGTTCCACAGTCTAGCAATTGTGAATTGTGCTGCTATGAACATCGATGTGGCAGTATCCCTGTAGTACACTCTTTTAAGGTCTTCAGGGAAAAGTCCAAGAAGGGCAATAGCTGGGTCAAATGGTGGTTCCATTCCCAGCTTTCCCAGGAATCTCCATACTGCTTTGCAGATTGGCCGCACCAGTTTGCAGTCCCACCAGCAATGTACAAGAGTACCCTTTTCCCCACATCCTCTCCAGCACTTGTTGTTGTTTGACTTCCTAATGGCTGCCAATCTTACTGGAGTGAGATGGTATCTTAGGGTGGTTTTGATTTGCATTTCTCTGACTGCTAGAGATGGTGAGCATTTTTTCATGTACTTGTTGATTGATTGTATGTCCTCCTCTGAGAAGTGTCTGTTCAGGTCTTTGGCCCATTTGTTGATTGGGTTATTTGTTTTCTTATTGTTTAATTTTTTGAATTCTTTGTATACTCTGGATATTAGGGCTCTATCTGAAGTGTGAGGAGTAAAAATTTGTTCCCATGATGTAGGCTCCCTATTTACCTCTTTTATTGTTTCTCTTGCTGAGAGAAAACTTTTCAGTTTAAGTAAGTCCCATTTGTTGATTTTTGTTATCAACTTTTGTGCTATGGGTGTCTTGTAGGGAAGTGCAGTCTTGACAGCTGGGAAACCACATCCTCTTTTCTGGATCCTTGGAAGACTTCTTGTCTTTCTTTTGAGGAATAATGACTTCATCTCTACTGATTGTCCGCATCTTCTGGTATTTCATCTTTATTATTGATTCCTTTCCTCTTTGGAAGGATAGTTGTTTCCTCTAGTTTTCTTGGTTTCTATCTGTAGTAAAAAATCTGATAATATTAGAGGGAGGTTGGGTGAGTGGCTTGGGTAAGCAAGAAGCAGCTGAGCTGTGTTGAAGTATACTGCAGTGCAGAGGGAACTGTGATAAAACTGGAAAAGAAACTATTCCTAAATGCTGGTAATCAATTATTAGTAAGGTTAGCTGCATATTTTATTTTAACAAATTAATTTTGTCCAGGTTTGAATTTTTAAGTATTTTTAGAAATTTGGATTTTTTATAAGCCACCTAATAACAGCACAGTCTGTTTTTTCTTCATTATTCTTGGCAATATTTACGTTTTCATTTCTCTTGTCTTGGGTCAGTGGTGTATTGATCATACATCACCAGTTAGAATTCCATTGGTTTCTATTTGTTCTTATTCCCCTCCAGTGCATTCTGTACCAACTGCCAGATTAGTATTAAATTCTACTTGGATATCTTTAATGTCCCTTGTTACCCATAAAATGGAAATACTGTTTAGTATCCAGAAGCAATAGTGAGGGTCCAGGGGTGTAGCTTAGTTATAGAGTTCTTGTCCAGATGTGCAAGGCCCTATGTTCCATGCCAAGCATCATGGGGAAAAAAAATGAAAGAGGAAAAAATTTAAAGAGCTGTAGAGAAATGTAAAGAAATTTCTAAGAAACTCAAAACTTTTTGGGTAGGATGCAGTCTTATCTATTCTGTTTCCCTCTAAATGTCTACATTAAAAAAAAAAAAAGCTGGGTTTTATCTAGTTGATTTTGTAATTCATTTAGGTTACCTGGAGTTTAAAAATAACTTCAGTTGGGTTAGAAGAGCAGAGAGGAATGTCCTTTGAGGAAGGGCTATTTGAAGAAGTGAAGAAAGGCATTCTATGGTGATGCTCAGTGCACCAGGGGGTTGTAACCCAAAAGGTTTGCTTTCTTCTGTCCAAGCTGCTTACCCTTGGTATGTTCATGTGCACACTCTACTTCTGTAAAGAATGCTGGGTATATTTAGGGGCTTTGCACTGGCTCAGATTTAGGAAAAAAGATGAATCACCTCACCTTCCCAAAATTCTCCTAAATCACAAGTCAATATCAATGTGAATCTTCTAAAGATGGCTCCAAACTGCCCTCCCCTGCCCCACTTTTGCCTCCATTTCTAGTTTTCTTTCTATGTTCTACTAGAACAAGACCAACTTTTATCCTACATCCTCACAAAATCTTCTCAGCTGCTCAGCTCTGATTCTGAATTCTTTCAGCATTTGTATATATATATTATATAGCATTTAGAATATTCCACTTTTTGTGATTTTTTTTTTCATAGATATTGTTTCTCTCTCCAACTGATGAATCTATTGAGTCAACATTTAAGTGTTGGAAAAAAGTTTGGAAAAAAAATTCAGTTTCTGTACTAACCTGGGCAGTTCCATGACAGGGCTTTGTGTTTTTACAGTAATAAATGGACATTTACTTTTTACAGAAAATTGTTGTAATTGGGTGTCAGGAGATATAATTTCTAACCCATTGGTTCATTTTATGTTCAGTTTGTGTTATAACACATCATGTTGGAGATTCTAATTTGCGGTTGTTGGAAGCCATGCTAGACTCTTTTGTTGTTAAACTTACTGATATTTATTTTACCTTTTCAAGGGCTACAAAACTTTATAGAGGAAGCTTGATTGCGCTCTGCATTTCCAATATATTTTTCATGCTTCCATGGCAGTTTGCTCAGTTTGTACTTCTTACTCAGGTAAGGTGATTATATTTTTAAAGTGATTTAAGCTTAGAGCATTTGATTAAGTGAACTCATTTGTATAACATTATAACTGAGCTCCTATATAATTCTAAGTCCTAAAGTGTTCATTTAATGGTTTTAAAGAAAGTTCAGAGTAAGGAAATGTGCAAGATTTGTTTATTAATGAGTATTATTTACTTACTAGAAAAATGCATTTATGAATCCATTTTGTAAAAGACTTATCTTTGTTACTCAATATTTGTGGGTTTAAAAGAGAACTAATATTATAATTTTAATTATTTCTTTTAAATAACTATAGTATTTCTCTTAAGTAAAATGTGTTACTTTTATGCGTAGTGCCATATTTTTTACATGTAGGATAACTATACATCGGATAAGAGGATAAATAGCTAATGAAGTTCATATTTTATAATTTCTCCTCCCAATTTGCAGTTTATCACCTTTTCATGTATTCATTCCTTCTTTTCAAATATTGACATATAAAACAGGGTAGCTATTATGTATTCATTTTCCTCCCATTTCCTACTTTTTTATTATTATGCTAGCCATATTTGTATAAAGCAGTAGATGAATTGCTTTTTAATATTCTTTGGAATGTGTTGCTTCAGTACTGAAGTCAGACCTAGATATGAGTCCTAATAAAATTCTATTCATTAGCTGCTTGACTTTGACAAAAAACTTAACTTTTCTTAGTTTCAATTTTCTCATTTCTAAAATAGAGAAGATAAAAGAACCCACTTTATTGGATCAGATGAGGGTAATATATTAAGACTCAACAAAGTACCCAGTGCTTAGCCAGATTCGTTCATCTTTTTTTTTTTTTTTTACTATACCTGATTTGTACTTACTTCTTCCTTTGATCTTATCTTTTAGACTCCTTTACCTTCTTTGGTTTGATGACATTTTACATTAGTTTTTGATTTAAATTATCCCTGAGATCATCTCTTTAAGATTCTACCATGGAGGTGTTCTATATATTGCTTAGCCTTTGGAGTAAAAAAGGATCTTACTTTCCCTATTGCTTTCAGTTAGTGAAGATGGCCTTCCTTTTCTGTGTGTGTGTGTGTGAGAGTGCGCGCGTGCACGCGCGCGGTGGGGGGAGTTGACATGCCTCTGTGGTTCTTATGTTGAATAACAACACACACTCCCCTAGAGTTATTATTATATGAAGTAAAATAATATGAATAACAACTGTGAGGGAATGTGTGTTGTTAGTCACTTTTAAGCAGTATGGTTTCCCCATGGGTAACTAAAAGAAGAGACATCTTGGTTTGGATCTTGGTTTGGTGGTGGTGGTTATTTTGTTTGTTTTTACTAATAGGAACGTTTGTTGTAGATTATTTGGAGATAAAATCCTTAAAGATTGTAATTTAAGTTATATGTTTAAATGTTTAGCTGTTTCAATTTGCTATGTATGTGTGGTAGGAGAGGCATGGGATTTACTTTGAATGGCTTTCTCCATGAAGAAGGGTAGAGAGGCATTGTCTGACATAAGACCTCTTTATAAGAGATACAGTGTCATCATTTAATCAATCCATCTAAATAATTCTAATAGTCTTAGAATTCTTGATTAATAATGTATAATTTTCTTCAAATTGGAAAGTTAAAAGTACCTTTGTGGTGAAAGTACTCCTTTTAATTTGAAATTTGATAAATTTCATTATACCTAATATTTGAATATTTATACTAATGAAATACAACACTAACGGAGATACTTGTGAAGAGTGACAAAAAATCAGAAATCATTATTTTTACATAAACATGTATTGCTTATTTTTGAGTCTTAATGTGCCCTCCCCAATTATGTATTAATGGATATGTTAAATTACATTTTCATATTTTTTATGGATCAGAGTACTTTAATTATACATGTTAATGATAGTCAACCTGATATAAAAATGAGTGTTGTTTTTGGATGATCCACAAAGTAAATAATTCATGTGAGCTGTATGTGACAGAAGAAAATCAAGCACAATTTGCCAAGTTAATATATTGACCATACTCAATAATAAATTGGGAGATAAAGGAAAATCATAATCTCACTTTCTGTGTAACTATAAATAAATTTAAGGTAACAGAATTATTTTCCTGCATTTTTATACCTATTTATTTTATATGTATATTATTTTTATTTTTAACTTAATTTCTTTTTAAATTTCAGATTGCATCATTATTTGCAGTATATGTTGTGGGGTATATTGATATATATAAATTACGGAAGATCATTTATATACACATGGTAATGAATTTTAATTGTTTTTGTTTTGTTTGATCTTAAGATGAACTTCTGACTAATATTTGATTTGCTTATTGTTTGTTGAAACTAGTTGTAAAATGACTCTATAACTAAGATAAGGGTTGTTCAAACACTGTAATATAGTTGACCTCATTTTACATAGGCCACCCAGAGAGTTTTAATTTTGGCCATAATATGTGTTTGAGGATGTATCTAATTTATACTTTATCAGTAAAAGCAATTCATGAAAGAAATATGCAACAGTAGTATATTATCTGTGGAGCTGTCTGGTAAAATGAAGTATTCATTCACTGGGCATCTACCCCTAAGCATGTTGGACAGGTGGGTGACTAGAACTAGGGGCTCTAGCATTCATGTGGCTGGTCTTCTAGTAGTGTGAGGAAGGAGAGAAGACAGAATAGATAATGAGTATGCTAAAAGGGTAAATTGGCATATTGGAGGATAATAAGGATTAAAGAGAAAACAAATCAGGATAGGGCAGATCAGTAGTGCCAGGGTCACAGGATATAAGATCCAGGTATCAAGTAAAGTGGTCAGGTTGCATCATGTTAAGAAGAAGGAAACTGAGCAAGGATTGGAAGGAGGACAGGGAGGTAGCTAATAGATACCACAGAGAAGAATATTCTAGTTTGGTGGAGCAACCAGAGCAAAGGTCCCAAGACTGATGAGTTGATGTTGATGAATTATCTTTTAAAAACATTTGTCTTCTATTATTAATTTATATATATGTGTGTGTGTATATATATATATATATATATATATATATAGTGCTTTCTGATGATCTTTATGTTATTATATTATGTCATTATTGCTTTTTATTCTCTATAGTAGTTGATAAACATAAAAGGACATTTAAGTGTAGGGAAGTTATGGTTATGAACACATTTACAAAATTAACAACTATGAGATTGTCCTCCAAATGAAAAATAGAACCTTGTCATTACCATGAAGTCCTATGTGACCTATAAATATCTTTCACCTCTCTGAGAGGTAAATGTACTGACTCTTTAAATTGTTATAAGCTTGCTTTCCTTTTAAACTTCACTCTGTATGTAAAATACGCTCTGTATGTATTCCCAAATAATATATATTTTTATTATTAAATATTAGCCTAGGTTTGGTTTGTATAAATGCTTTTCTTTTGAGAATCATGTTTTTACTCAAATTTCTGAGATTTATATTGATGTTCAGATATTTTCACTGCTTTATGTTTTCCATTTGTATGAATAAAGTACAATTTATCCATTTTCTTACAGAAGGATATTTAGATTCTTTCCTCTCTACCACCTGTGCTTCTTTTTTCATGTATGAATAACATTGTATTCTTATCTCCTGAGGCATATATATTAAAAAGTTCCTCTGGAGTATTTACCCTGTAGTAGACTTGCTGGGTGGTAAATTATGCACATGTTCAACTCCATAAATACCAAATGATTTTTCTAAAATGATCAAACTACTTCAAATAGCAATGTATAACAGCTCATATTATTCTACATTAAAAAAATTTTTTTTGTTGTTCAGTCTGGTTGGTATAAAATGGTATCTAGTGACCTTAATTTACATTTTCTCTCAGTAAAGCTGAACATCTTATGTTTATGGACCTTTGTATTTTTATGATATTCCCATTCAAACCTTCTCTCCGTTTTTCTCTTATATTCAAGAGAAAATGCTGTTTTATTCAGAGCAGTATAATCCATTATTTTCGCTTTTATGTTGATGCTCACATTGTTCCGTATTTGTCCAACTGTTTGGACCAGCTTCTCCTTTTATCTTGTCCTCATCATGCTTTGAGCACTTTAAAATGTACTTAGTAAATATGAAGTTTCATGAAATCTGCATCTGCTTAGATGATCCTGTTTTTCCCTCCTTAATCTGCTACTATGGCAAATATGCCATAACTGATTTTCTTTTCTTTTCTTTCTTTTTCTTTTATTTTGTAGGGATTGAACTCAGGGACACTTAACCACCGAGCCACATCCTCAACCCTTTTAATATTTTATTAGAGACTGGTTCTCACAGAGTTGCTTAAGGCCTCCCTAAGTTCTGAGGCTGGGTTTGAACTCAGATCCTCCTGTCTCAGCCTCCTGAGTCACTGGGATTACATGTGTGAGCCACTGTGCCAGGCACATTAACTGATTTTTCTAACATTTAAAAACAAAACAAAACAAAAACTCTTGCTTTTCTGGGCTAGATTCTTTTTTTATATATATATTGTTGAATTTGATTTGTTTCTATAGGATTTTTACATCTCTTTTGGTGAATGGATCCAGTAGTAAACTTTTATATATATTTGGCTAATTATTTTTCCAAACCAATTAATACATTTTTTTTTCAAATCAGAATAAATGGTAAATGTTGAGAGTTGCACAATCATGTAGTCACATAGGCACCTATAGCTGAGTGCTTTGACTCAAAGTTGTAGTTATCAAATTACTGAACTTATACAGATTTAATTTGTAGGTGAACCTTCTTAGGTAAATAATACATAGTTTTGTGATTTACTTCTCTGTCTTCACTATTACTTTATAGTTTGTCAATTTCTTTTCTTTATTTTTTAATAATAATAGTAATATATTTATTTGCATATGACATGGAATGTATGTAGACGGAAGGAATCTGTAACAGAGTTACTAAAACCAATGAGTTTAACATAACTCAGGATATAGGATCAATATGCAAACATCAATTCTGTTTTCATATTAGCATTGAACAACTTGAAAATGAGTTAAAAATTTGATTCATAGTACCAAACATCATTAAAAATACATTTAGGAATTTAATAGAAGGTGTTACATAAAGCAATTCATTTTATGTATTGTTAAAAATTTTTAATTAATTTTTTATTATTTATATGTGGCAGTGGAAATCATCAATTTATTATAGCTTCAAAAATATAGATTGCCCACAAAAGAATTATTTTTACTTTTAAAAAATTGTGATAAAATATATATAGCAGAATTTACCATCTTAAGCACTTTCAGGTATATAGTTCAGAAGAAGTAAGTACATTCATGTATTTTTGCAAGTATCACCAGTCTGTATCTTTAAATCTTTTCATCTTGCAGAACTGAAACTCTGTACCCATTAAACAACAACTCCTTATTCTCCCATCTTTCCAGCCCTTATTGTTTTATACAGATAGTTTCATAGCCCTAGAAATCCTCTGTGCTCTGCCTATTCACTTTATTCTCACCTCCTACTCCTAGTAACCACTGATCTCTTTATTGTCTCCTTAGTTTTTCTTTTTGCATAATGCCATATATTCAGAATCACACAGTGTATAGATTTTCAGATTGGCTTCCTTCACTTAGTAAAATGCAGTTAAGTTTCCTCCAAGTTTTGATAGCTCATTTCTTCATGGTGCTGAATAGCATTTTGATTATGTGGATGCATCACTGTTTATCCATTCTCCTCCTGAAGGACATCTTGGTTAATCCCATGTTTTGGCAGTTATGAATAAAGCTTTAGTAAACATTTGCCTGCAGGTTTTTATGTAGACATAGAGTTATAATTCATTTGGGTAGATGCCAAAGAAAGTAATTGTTGGATTGTTTCTTAAGAGTATATTTAGTTTTTTAGGAAATTGCCCAACTGTCTTCCAATATAGCCATACCATTTTACATTGTCACTATCAACAAGTGAGAATTCCTATTGCTCCACATCCTTGCAAGTATTTGGTGGTGTTAGAATTTGGATTTGAGCCATTCTAATAGATGTATATGGTATCTTATTGTTGTTTCAGTTTGGATGAACATCTTTTTATATGCTTATTTTCCATTTCTGTATCTTATTTGGTGTGGTATCTGTTAAGGTCTTTGGCCATTTTTTAATTGGGTTGTTTATTATTGTTGAGTTTTAAGAATTCTTTGTATATTTTGGTTAACAGTCTTTTATCAGATATGTCTCTTCCGAATATTTTCTTCCATTTTATGGCTTATCTTCTCATTCTCTTTACATTGACTTTCTCAGAGTAAAGAATTTTTTTTATTTTAATGCAGTTAATTTCATTAATTATTTCTTTTTCTGGAATATATTTTTGATATTGTATCTAAGAATTCATAACTGTATCTAAGGTCATCTAGGTGTCTTCCTCTGTTAACTTCTAGGAGTTTTACAGTTTTGTGATGTACATTTAGATCTGTGGTTCATTTTGAATTAGTTTTTGTGAAGGGTTTAAGGCCTATGTTTAGATAGATATATAGTTGGTATGTAGATATCTGCTTGTTCCAGCACTATATGTTGAAAATACTGTTTTTGCTCCATTGTATTATCTTCGCTCCTTTGTCAAAGATCTGTTGACTTATTCATGTGAGTCTTTTTCTAGACTGTATACTTTGTTCTATTGATGTCTGTTTGTCTAGTCGTTCTTTTGTCTGTTCTTTCACCAATCTGACACTGACACTGTCTAGCTTTATACTAAGCTTAATCAAGTAGTGTCAGTCTTCTGAGTTTTATAAATATATATAATTTTTCTATATATCGTGTTGGTTCTTCTGAGTTTTTTTGCATAACCATATATCTTTAGAATCAGTTTGTTAATATTTGTAAAATAACTTGCTACAATAATGACTGTGGTTCTGTTGAATATATAGCTCTAGTTGGATAGAACTGACATCTTGACAATATTGTGTCTTCCTGTCAATAAATATGGAATATCTTTGCATCTACTTAACTTTAATTTTATATTTTTCATCAGTGTTCTATAGTTTTCCTTGTACAGATCTTTTGCATATTTTGTTGGATATTTACACTTTTTAACTTTTTGTGTTATTAATTTCAAATTCTACTTTGTTTATTGCTGGCATATGGAGAACAGTTGACTTTTGTACAATAACCTGTATCCTGCAACCTTCCATTATTCCCTTACTAGTTCTAGTAGTTCATTGTTGATTCTTTTGAATATTGATTTTGTTGTTTATGTTGAATAATCATGTCATCTGCAAATACAATTTTATTTCTTCCCAAGTTTTATACCTTTTATTCCTTTTCTTACTGAATTATCTTGGGTTTTTAGTATGATATTGAAAAGCAGTAGTGGGTAGGAACCTCTTTGCCTTATTCCTGATCTTGGTAGGAAAGCTTTCAGTTTCACCATTAAGTATGTGCTAGCTGTAATTCTTTTAATTTTCTTTATTAAGTTGAGGAAGTTTCCTTCTATTCCTGGTTTACTGAGTTTTTATGATAAATGGGTATTGAAGTTTGTCAGATAATTTTTTTTTGCATGCATTGATTGGTCATGTAAGTTTTCTTCTTAAACCCATTGATGGATATAAAGTAGTATGTTAATTGGTCTTTGAATGTTGAACCATCCTTGTATACCTGGGATACATTTTATTTGGTTATGTTGTATGATTCTTTATGTGTATTCTTTGATTCAATTTGCTTATATTTTGTTGAAGTTTTTGCATCTGTGTTCATGAGATACCGGCCTATAGTTTTCTTGTAATGTTATTTTCTGATTTAGTTTCAGAGTAATATTGGCCTCATAAAATGAGTTAGGAAATATTTCCTCTGCTTTTGGAAGTGAGTGGAGAGAATTGTTTTAGTTTCTTTCTATGAATGAGATGCTCAAAGTGGAACTTTTCCCGTTTCCTCTGTCATAAACACAAAGGGATTTTCCTCTGATAGTCATTGTGAAGAAGCAGTAGAGCTCTTGGAAATAAAACAAAACTGTAGGCCCTCCCCATGACTGGGTTCACTAGAGTTTTTAACTTGCAAAGTTGGCCATACTGAGCCTCCAGCACTCATCAATTATCGTTTGGGTTTTCCTGCCTCTGCACTGGTTCCCAAAAGAGGTCTATTCATGGTTTCCTGCTCCACTGTGATTTTTTTGTGATTTTCTGTATTTACCTGTCTGTCTCTCCCCTTTTGGCCTTCATTTGCCCTGTGATCTCACTTCTCTGTCAGATATAAAAAGAATTGTTGGTTGGCTAGTGTTTTTATTTGTTCTCAGTAAGCTTCTTATATGCAGTACTCTGATTTTGGTTTTGGTTTACATTTTCCTGATAATTAGTTATATTGAGCAACTTTTTATGGGCTTCTTGGTAACTTATACATTTTTCTGTCCTTTGCTTGTTTTTGAATAGATTTGTGTTTGTGTGTCTGTGTATGTGTATGTGTGTGTGTTGCATTTTCTGGATATTAACCCTTATCATATATATAATTGCAAATATTTTCTCCCAACATTTTAATAATACTGTCTTCTAATCCATGAACATGGGATGTCTTTCCATTATTTCTGTCTTCTGAATTTATTTCAGCATTGTTTGGTACCTTTCATTTTATAAATCTTGTACCTCCTAAGTCAAGTTAATTACTGAGTATCTTATTCTTTTTGATAGCATTTTTATAAAATAATTATTTTCTAAATTTTCTTTTCAGATTGTTCAATGTTAGTGTACAGAAATTCAACTGATTTTTGTGTGTTGACTTTGTACCCTGATACTTTGCTGAATTTTTAACAATATTTTTGTGCAGCCTTTAGAATTCTTTCCATATTAAATACAGTTATTTGCAAATAGAGATAATGTTATTGCTTTCATTCCAATTTTAATGCCTTCTGTTTCTTTTTATACCTTGATTTGGCAAAGAATCAGGATACAAAGTTGATACACAAAAATCAGTTTACACCTTACACATAATACCTGCCTACACAAATCCTCTGAGATTTTTTTTGTTTTGTTTTTCTAATAAGCTTTATTTCTCGCAAAATATTTTCCCTCTTTTTATGGACAAAGTTTCACCTCTATTTGCTCAAGCCAAAAGCTTTTCTCCCTTTCTCCTCTTCCTGTATATCCTACATCCAACTATTAGTTCTAGCTTCCAAATATGTCCAGAGTATAATCACTTCTCTCCAATGCTGCTGTTAGAATCCTGACCATACAATCAAAACAACAAAACACTGCTAAGAGAAATTAGGAAAACAAATTGTTTAAAGCCTGTTTTTCAGTTCTGAGCTCTTTCCTCTGTTATTAACATTCTCCCCTTTCAATACTCCCTATTCAACTCCTTCCTTCTGATCGTCTTACTTTCTAGTCCAGGTCCTGAAGCACTTGGTGCTTTACATCTGGAAGCTTCAACTGGTGATTGAAATTGAGATCATGTGATTTAATTTTCATAATTTTGAAAACAAAGCCAGAATTATGTTTTTCATATTTAATGACTCTGAGACATTTATCTCAGTAAAAGCCTATATGCCAATTCTGATGAGTAAATGGTTAAGATAATTTTCAGTTTTTTTTTAAGTAAGTTAGTGTATATTTTACTAACTTCAACCCCAATATTTCTTGAGCCATTTAGAGCTTCCTTTTTCAGTACTATCTTATATTTTCTTGGCATTGTTTTGCTTGATTCTTGGCCATAAGTGTATATTATTTTCCTAAACTTTGCAAGTTGATTGGAGAAACACTTGCACTAGACATAAGCAATTCAAACACACACACATAAAACAACATAAACAGGGAATAAGGAACAAGATGCTGTATCTTTTCTACTATTTCAAGAATGAGAAAGCCAGCACAGTGGTGCACACCTATAATCCCAGCAACTCAGGTGGCTGAGGCAAGAAAGTTGCAAGTTCAAGGCCAACCTCAGCAACTTAACAAAGAGCCTCAGAAACCCAATGAGAACCTGTCTTAAAATTTTAGGAGAAAAAAAAATTGAAAAGGGCCAAGGATGTCTTTCAGTGTTAAAATGTAAAGTGTTCATTCTCAGTACCCCCTCCCAAAAAAAGCATTAAAAAAGGAAAATGAAACAATGACATAACTTTTTTACCTTATAAGGTTGGAAAGTTTTTTAAAAAAATAAGACAAAATAAGATAATGTGAGCCAGAGCATGTATCTACAGGAAATCTCTTATCCTCTTAATGGGGCTGTAAATTGGTACAATCATTTGATAGAGCAATTTGTCAGTATTGTTTTTCAGATTTGTGTATCCTTGATCCATCAATTCTACTTCTGGTAATTTGTCTACAAATGTATTTTGCACATAAAATGTATACTCAAAGATGTTTATCATAGCATGTTTGTAATAGGAAAAACAAACAAAATAGAACTGAAAGCCAATAATCAGAGGACCAGTTAAATAAATTGTGGGACATCTATAGAGTGAATACAAAATTTTCTAAAATTTCATTTACTTATTTATTTTTGTGCCAGGGATTGAACCTAGGAGAGCTTAATCATTGAGTCACTTCCCCGGGCCTTTTTATTTATTTATTTATTTGTAATTTATTTTACTATTGAGACAGGTTCTTAATAAGTTGCTTAGAGCTTTGCTAAATTGCTGAGACTAACCTTGAACTTGCAATCCTTCTGCCTTAGCCTCCTGTCACTGATATTATAGGCATGTGCCATCACACTTGGCTCTTTCCTCAATTCTTAAACAGAATAAACTAGATTGGCTTGGATTAATGTGTAAAACTCTCTGAAACATAGTAAGAGTAAAAGCAAAACATAGTTACCTTATGAATAGATTCTCAATTGTTGCTTTTAAACAAAATGTAAAATATAATTTATTCATTTCAGTGCCAGAAAAATGCATGAAAACCATTGTGCACAGTGTGATGTGCTGTTTTTATTATATATTCCTTTTTGAATGGTTTGAATTTTGCTTATCATGGGCATATGCAATTTTCACAATGAAGAATCAGTGATTCTCTGAATTATTTATTTATTTTTTTGGGTTTTTACAGATTTCTCTTGCACTTTGTTTTGTTTTGATGTTTGGGAACTCAATGTTGTTAACATCCTATTACGCTTCCTCTTTGGTAATTATTTGGGTAAGTGTTCCTTGGTACATGGCTGTTTTTTAATTTAATGGTATCAGTTTCTTTATCACTGGCTTGGGATCCATGAGGGTACAAGTTTGTTTTTCTTTTCTTTTTTCCTTTCTTTTTTTTTCAGTTTCATTCTAAATAAGAAGTCATCTCTTCCAGAGGTAGTTGTGACTTTTTTTCCCATGGGTTTCACTATTACAGTGTTTTGCAAACCTAAGTTATTCCTTATATCTAAAATATATGCATTTTAGTATAGGCCAGTTTCTTGAAGACAAAAGCATATTACATTGTCTTAATTGGAATATGTTCTACTTTTTGAGTAATCATTTAAATTACTTTAGATTATTTTGGTTTTCTTGATTTCTAGAACCCATAACAAATTAGGAGCCTCCTATGTCTTCATCCCATTGTACAAACAATAATTATTTACAAACTAGAACCCATCAATACATTTGTAGCTCCTAATGTTTATCCCATTTTACAAATAATAATTATAAAAAAGCCCATTTTTCAAAAAATATTCCTCTTCCTAATCTGGGCTCCTACCCTTTTTTGATGTGTGACTTGAGTGTATTTAGCCACAAAAATAGTAATATAATATAGTAATACTATGTGGAAAATCAATAGCATGTTCTATGCAGTGTTTTCAACAAAAGTAATTAACTGAGTTGTTGTGCTTTTGGCAGTAATGAGTTTAGTTCTTAAAATCAGTATACTCTATAATTAGGAAATGTGATACTATACTCACTTCTATAAATTACCTGCCTACGTTAGCAAATGTTGCTATTCCTTAAGATAAAATATATAATTCCTTGTACTTGTGTACAGGGAAGTCATTGAATTGAATATTGCATGTGAATACAATCTCATCTAAGTTCATTTTGTAAGAAATTTCTTTTGAGTTCATTTGAGCTTCAACTGTGTCAGGTACACTGCTAGATGCTTGACACTGACATTGTCTTAGGTATGAATTAAGCAGATTTATGTGTACGTTCTACATGGTATATAAATAATACTAACAGTTATAGAATATAGTATATTTATGTATATTTGCCTGTGTATTGTTGTGTTTAATGATTTTGAAACCTGAATTGTATCACTTTTCTCAAATGCTCAGAAAACTTCTGAAATGACTTAATTTGGGTTCAAATATATGTGTTTTGATATCTAATTATATTTGCCAAGTTTCAATTAGGTTTTGTTCTCTAAAGGTGATATACTTTGGGAGTTCATGTACTTAGACTTTAGATTTGTCAGAGAAGTATTTAGTTGATCCAGTAAAATCACATTTGTGCTCCCAGGAGCCAGTTATTTTTAGTTTAAGTAAAATCTTATTCCTATATGACTGCTGCCTAAAATTCTGCATTTGTTACTTGCTTCTTGGTTCTTAGGTAAATCAGATATGTAAAAACAATCCTAGAAATTTCTATCTGGTGATTCTGTTTTCAATTTTGCAGAGTTACTAACTGACCTAATCTTTGGATATAATAAAGGCTATGTTTTGAAATTACTGACTACAGAAATGAGTATATGGTAATACTATGTGGAAAATCAACAGTGTGCTGAATCTTAGATGCTTGAGAGTCTATTTAGAATAATTATTTGTTTCTTGAAATTCTATTAACTATTATTTTCTCTATTCAGGGAATGCTGGCATTGAAACCACATTTTGTGAAAATAAATGTGTCTGAGCTTAGTTTATGGGTAAGAATCAGTCTATTTTAATGCATATGTTTTTTTCTTTAAAATATTTTGGTTTTATGTTTTACTTTTTTTATTATTAGAGTTTATAATAGTAGTAGTTGGGTTCATCCCGACAAACTCATATATGCATGGAAATAGATTTCATTTCATGATCTCCCCTTTTCTTTCCTTTTTTCCTTCCTGTCCTCCCTCCCTTCTCCCATTCTCCTTCCTCTACTCTACTAGACTTCCTTTCACCCATGAATTAATTTATATTTGATTGGTTCTTTATGTTATCCTCTCCTTCCCTCCCCCTTTCCTTTATTTTACTCTAGATTCTACATATAAGAGAAAACATTTGACCTTTGAGTTTTATGTTTTACCTTTAATATATCTTACAGTTTTGTTATATTTTAAGACTCAATATTAATGTACCAAATTGCCCTTTTCATGAAGCAAGTTAAGATTAGTCTGGGATAGGTAAAAAGTTCCAGTTTTATTATCCACATTTCTTTTGAGAAATGGCACATGTATAAGTAATCTCCATAGAAGGAGAATCATACAAAGCCCCAGTAAAATATATTAATTTTTGTTAATAAAATTGTAAGTATATATTTTCACTTGTAGCTAGAGTCCCTCGTTTTGGAGCACCATGCTTTATTTAAAATTGAGATACATTTTGCAGCATTTTCTTTTAGAGACATTTAAAGCTTTAAGCTATAGAATTTGAAGCATCAAAGTTCATTTTGTTTCTTTTTAAATTATTTATTTATTTATTCATTCATTTATTTTGTAGATTATCCAAGGATGTCTTTGGTTGTTTGGAACCATTATACTCAAATATTTGACATCTAGAATCTTTGGGATTGCAGATGATGTAAGTTTTCACTTAAACTTAAAAGACGTGAGAAGACTCAAAACAGGCTGAGAATGAAATTTTTGAGTTATTAAAGTGCCACTATTTAAACCTAATTCTAGGTGAAGTGTATTCACCCATTTTTTATTATTTAATATGATAGAAAGCAAATGTGATTATGTATATAGTTTTTATTCTCCAGAATTAATCTTGGCATAATTCTTTTGTATCTTTTTATATCTTCTACATCACAAATATTTAAATATTTAATGCAAGGAAACAGTAGAGATTAAAGCCCAGATTTTAAGGTCTGTGGAGCCTCTGACTTTTTTATTATCCCCTTTGTAACAGATAAAGATTCTATCTTCAGAGCCTCAACTGGAGATCCTCACTGCTCCCACTTTGAGTTTTCTGGTCAATGTTGTGAATGCTCTATTTATAAACCATTGTAGGTAATTTAGTCTAAGTTAGGCTTATTAATAGAGGTTTTGTTTGCTTTGATGTTTGACTATGAGAAAAATTAAAATGATAAGTTTTCTGTTTTGTAACTTTCTAGAGGCTTTAAAACTTCTGCTTTGTAAACCAGTTGTTCTTTTCAGCAAAGTGCAGCCTTTAAGTTTATGAGCTCTGGTGTCAGACAGACCTAGGTTTAAATCCTAATTGTCCTGTTTTTACTTGTGAGATCTCAGGCAATAAGTATAAAGTTTTTGTGCAGAATAACATGGGGTCAGTACTTCATAAATATTAGTTGTTGTTATCATTGTTATTTTATATTACTGTTGCTATTGTCATTTATTATCATTGTGTATACATACATACATACACATTTATACACACACACCCTTAAGTGTATAATTAAGTTGTTTCCATATCTGAGGTGTTGTTAGTAGTGCTGCAATGAATGAACATGGTTGCAGGTATCTCTTCATTAGTTATTTTTCTATGGTTGGTCTAGGGATTATAATATGTATCTTAATGTATTACAATCTACTTTAGGCTAATACTGACTTAATTCAGGAAAACTATATAGTGCCTTTGCACAAGTTTATCTCCACTTTCTCCCCCCTCTTATGAACTATTATGTACATCATCTATATGTAAGTGCCAACAACATAGTTATGATTATTGCATTATATGATCTTGTGTCTTGCAGAAATTGAAAGAACAAAAGTGTTTATATTGCCTTTTGTATTTATCCACATTTTTGCCATTTTTATTGTACTTAATTTCTTGCTGTGAACATGAGTTACTGCCAATTTCATTTTCTTTTAGCCTGTGGAATTTCCTTTACTAATTCTAGTCAGGCAGGTCTATAGCAGTGGATTCTCTCAGGTTTTTTTTTTTTTTTTTTCTCTTCTGATGTTTTTATTTACCTTTATTTTTAAAGACTCATTTTGCTGTATATAAGATTATTGGTTGACAGTTATTTTCTTTCAGAACTCCGACCTCCATTTTTTTCTGAGAAGCCAATTAATATTACCTTATAAATATTAATGAAGTTAATAAAATAATATCAGTCAATCAGTATTTCCCCTATACATGATGAGTTGTTTTTCTGCTGTTGCTTTCGAGATTTTCTCTTTCACATTTAAAAGTTTGAGTATGATATGTCTGAATGTGGATCTTTTGTTCATCTTTCTAGATGTTTATTGAATTTCTATAAGTTAATTTTTCATTTGAATTAGGAAGATTTTGGTCATTATTTTTTCAAACATCGTTCATTTTTTAATGTCTCCATTAACATGTTTATGTGCTTAATATTCAGTTTTTGAAGCATTGTTTATTTTTCTTTCTTTTTTTTCCCTTCTATTTTCTGTCTGTCTGCCGGTATTTATTTATTTACTTACTTTGGTACTGGGGTGTGTCTTAGCACTCTACCACTTAGCTACATCCCCAGTCCATGTTTTATTTTTTATTTTGAGAAGGGGTCTTGCTAGGTTGCCCAGGCTGGCTTTGAACTGGAATCCTCCTGCCTCAGTAACCTAAGTAGCTAAAATTATAGGCGTACACCTTACTCTCAGCTTGTTTGTTTTTCTTTAGTCTCTTTACTTCTAATTTTCAGATTGGATAATTTCTATTAACCTGTCTTTAAGTTTATTGATTATACTGCCTTTTGACACTGGCTGTTCTGCCCATCCTGTGAAGTGTCCATTTCAGTTATACATTTTAACCCTGAGTTTTCATTTATCAAAATTTCTATTTCCTCTTGAAATTTGCTATTTTCTGAGTTATTAGCATAATGTTTTAATTTAATTTTTAATGTGATTTTTAAAATTTCACATATTTGTAGTTTGTAATTGCCACTTTGAAGTTTTTGTCTGCTAAGTATAATATCTGAGCCTTCTCAGAGTCACTGATTTTTATTTATTTATTTATTTTTGGTGGCACTGGGGATTGAACCCAGGGCCTGTGCATGTGATGCAAACACTCTACCAACTGAGCTATCTCTCCAGCCCTCAGAGTCAGTTTTTATTGATGAATTTTTTTCCTGAATATGTATCAGACTTTTCTATTCATTTGCATGTCTCACTAAGTTTTCCAAAACCAGGATATTTTATTTTATTTTTATTTATAAGTTTGTTCGTTCTTTCCTTCCTTCCTTCCTTCCTTCCTTCCTTCCTTCCTTCCAGTACTGGGGATTGAACCCAGAGGCTTGAGCATGCTAGGTAAACATTCTACCATTGATGTATATACTCAGTGAGACCCTGTCTCAAAATAAAATTTTGAAAAATGATTGGGGATGTATATACTTCAGTGGTAGAATGTTTCTGTTTTTTGTTTTTGTTTTATTATTCTTACTGTTTTTTAGCCTGACTTTCTAGATGTCACTCTCCTGTCTGTATAAATTAGTGTTCAACCAGTAATCAGAATTGTAGCTCAGATATCTTGAAGCAGTATATCTTTTGTTCTTTACTGATGGATCTGAGTGTGGGTTGGTGAGCAAATTCAGAGTGCAGATTGGGTTTTTTGGTTTGTTTGTTTTTGTTTTTATTATTATTGTTGCAGGGATTGAACCCTGGGGCACTTAACTATTGAGCCACATCCACAGCCCTTATTTTTTCTTTTGAGACAGGGTCTCATTAAGTTGCTGAGGCTGGCTTTGAGCTTGCAATCCTCCTGCCTCAGCCTCCTGAGCTGCTGGGATCATAAGTGTGAACCTCTGTGCTGCAGACTGTTTTTGAGTGTGTTGCAGTGTTTCCTAGCTTGATACTTACTAAGAAGCGCTACAAGACTCAGCATATAGTCATACTCATGACAATTATTTATTATAGTGAAGGGGAAAAGGCACAAGTCATGGGTTGGGGAGGAAACCAAGTAGAAACTTCTAACATTTCCCTACTAACAGAGTCACATGGGATGCCCTTAGATTTTCCAGCAATGAGTTGTGACAAAATGCATAAAATATTATCTACCAGGGAAACTATAGAGACTTAAGTGCCCAAGGATTTTACTGGGGGATGGTCATGTTGGCATCCTTGCCTACCACATATCAAAATTCCAGACTCCTAGAGGGAATGTAGGTTTTCATAAATAAATAAACCACATTATTAGTATACACCAGGTATAATAAGTCACTCTTACTGGTTATAGCAGTGGGAACTCTTCTAAAATCCAGGTGGCTAACTTGCAAGCAGATTTTTCAAAGGGTCACATTCAGGCCTATTTGGCCAAATAACTCATTTCTGTCCCATTTTTCCCTACCTGTCATGCCTTCTTGGGTCTTTTCTGAATGTGCGTGTCACTTTCCATCCTGTCAGCCAAAGACTCTAGGAGAGTTAGGGGTCTCTTGGATCTCCTCTGGGCATGTATGCAGGTTTCCAGTCCTCCAGGGATATGAGAACTTTTATCTGTGGCCATGATGGTTATCTTATTTTGTTTCTTTCTGTAGAATTTCTGACTAGTCTGACAGTCCTCTGTTTACCTCATTGGGATTGCAACCTAGGCTCAGACAGGAAGAAAGGCTTTTACCTTTTATTTCTTACTGAGTTTACTGCTTTTACAGATAATACCTCTGAACTCAGGTGTGTTTTTGCTCTGTGCCCAAATCAATGCAGCTTCTTCCAGGTGAAGTTTTGGTTTCTTCCTGACCAGCTCTACCTGGTAGGACCATTGCACTGACTGATCTGGGGAGGTGGTGGTGGAACTGATGGTGAGTGGGGCAGCCTAGGCAGGAAAGCAGCATCCTACAGTTTTTACCAAAGTTTGAGTGTTTTTAAACCACTGAATAATTCTCAGTGGATTGTTTCCTTTTGGTTGATTTCTAGAACCTGATATGATTGGTAGTGGCAATTTTGTTCAATTTTATGTTGTTTGGGGGAGGGTATTTACCTGCTTTTTTTTTTTTTACCTCTTCCATGTCTGAAAATCCCACATTGACTGATATTTGAGTTTGATCTGGCCTTGTATTCCTGGGATAAACCTTAATTGCTCACATTGTGCTATTCTTATATATTGCTGGATTTTCTAGGCTCATATTTTTATACAATTTGCCTATATTCATGATGATTAGTAATAGTTTCTTTTCTTATAATAATTTTGTCTGGTTTTGGTTTTAGAGTAATAACCCCATAAAATTGTGGGAATATATTTAGTTCTCTTGTTTTTAGAGAGAATTTCTATAGAATTGATATTTCTTCCTTATGTTAGGTAAAATTCAATATTGAAAGCCCTTAGGGCTGGGAGTTTTCTTTATGAGTAGGTTTTTCACTTCAATTTCAACATCTTTAGGAAACTTTCTAATTCATATGGAGTAAGCTTTGATAATTTAGTTGAACTTTTTAAAAAACATTATTCAATATAATTAGATTTTAAAATTACTGAAATTTTTGCATATGTGCATATATGGGAAATGTTCACTTACATATTTATTAACTTTTGAAAATTTACAAGTTCTTATTTTCTAATGTGACAGATAACATTGTATTTATTATGTTCAACTTGATGTTTTGGAATTATATATATTTATATTGATATGTATGCATATATATATATATATTAGTTAACTTAAATAACTAGATTTAACCATTTTATATGTGTGTGTATGTATATATGTGTCTAAGTATATACATATAAATGTACATACACTATACATTATTATATCATTAGCATTTTTGTGATAAGAGCACTTAAAATCCACCCTATTTGCATTTTCAAAAGTATGATAAACTGTCGTTAACTCTAATCACCTTGCTGTAATACATCTCCTGAATTCGTTCCTCCTATCTTTTACTGTTTTCTGATCAGTAATGCAATAAAACATTTCTCCTACCACCCTTCTCCCTTCTGTTCTCTGCAGCCTCTGGGAATCATTCTTCTACTTCTGTGATAACAGATTTTTTAGATTCTCATATGAATGAGATCAAACTTGAGGGAAAACTTACCTTTTTTGTTGTCACTGCCCTTATTTTCTGGTAAATGGTTTAAAGCTATAAGTAGGTACTTTTTGTGTATTTTACAAATTGATCATTTCATGATTGTCTTTAATCTAAAAAGAATTACATTTTATGTTATTTGGTTTCTAAACGATATGATTTTAAAAGCCATCCTAGTTATTTTCTAGTTTTATTGCATTAATCATCAGGAAAAAAAATTATCAATATTTTGGAATCAGCTAAATAAATGGTATAAGAACATTTAAAAATTTTTACAGTGTTAAAGGAAAATGTGTATGATCTCTTTGTAAAGTTCATATTCTGTAGTGTTTATGAGCTTATTAATTATATTATTCAAATTTTATCTTAATTTGGTCAGCATTTTCTGTTCTAGGGAGCAGGGTTTAACATTTCCAATGAATACTGTCAGCTTATCTGTTTCTTCCTACAGCTTTGTCAGTTTTTTAAATATATTTTGACTAGATGGTTATTTCCAAATATGTTCATGATGTGTATAATTTTGCTTTGCTGTTCATTTTACTAGCTTATAATATTATTCATTGTCTCTTTTTACATATTTTTGCTTGAATTTAGTTTTGTGAGATATTATAATAACAAACCTAGATTTCTTTGTTTCAGATTTATCTGATTTATCTTCTTCTATTCTCTGTTTTCAACTTTTCTATCTCTAAGTATATCTTTTGTAGAAAACGTAAGAGTGGATTTATTTCCTTAATCCCAATATGAGCATCTGTCCTTTAATTAGTGAATTTAATCTCTTTGCATGTGTGGCAGTTAACATAATAGTAGGGTCCTTTTCTTCCATTTATTTGGGATTTGTTTTCTTTTGCTATTTTAGGTGCCATATATCCTCCCTACTGATTGCTTAAACTTATCACCATACATGTCTTCCCTTAGCAGACAGAGTGTTTTGCAGTGCATCATCACATTCCTACCACACTTCAGTTTCTATTCTCACTCTCTTTCATGTAGATGTCACTTGAATTTTAGGTTTGGTGTGTCTTAGATATAACTTCCCCTCTTTTCTTTTGTCTTTGCTTTTTTAGACAATAATGAACATTGGCAATTTTAGACAATAATGAAGTTTGGCAATTGTTTTGTCTTCAAGCCCTAGTTTTCTCATTTATAAATTGAAAATAATCCCACCTCCCTTGTCTTGCTTTTTGTGGGCAGTTGTAAGTGAGTGCATTTGGTAATGTGAAGAATTACACGAGGGTTGGTTATTGGTCAAAAGGTACTTTTACTCCAACACCTTACCATTTTATTTTCTTCATGTAGTCTTTTAAATCCCATTTCTAGAGTTCAGAATTAATATTTTCCCTTCTTTACTCTATAGCCTAGGTTCCTGTATGATGGACTTAAGTCTGTCTGAGTTCCAAAACTCATACTTCCTGGTTGGCTCTAACAAAGACGAGCTGTGCATTGTCTTTCACCAGGTTTAGCACAGTGACAGGAAAACCCAGTAAGAAGACTTTGGTACATTGATGAGAGTGGAAGGTGGGATGGTGTTGGAGCTATCATTGATCAGCAAAAGAAAGGGCTGCTGTGAGAGGGAATAGCACTTAACGACAACAAAAAAGTCTAGTATGGGAACAGTGAGCTTTGTAATGCAGTAAAAACTATTGTAAATACTTGTAAGATTAAAGTGCATTATGACAATAATTAGTTTAATGTAATGGTTCCTCACTTTATTTCTTAATAGGCTCATATTGGCAACTTATTAACATCAAAATTCTTCAGTTATAAGGATTTTGATACTTTATTGTATACCTGTGCAGCAGAGTTCGACTTTATGGAAAAGGAGGTAAGATGTGATTTCTAGTTTTCTTTCAATGGATTTTAGCCCCTATATTTTTCATTAAGGGTTCCCTGTTATTTCAGATTCTATATGTGCTCTTATCTCAGTTTAAAGGAAAAGGAAAATCTGGCAGCTTTAAGGAAGATGTTTCTGTTTACATTAGTACAGCTCCCTGAAATATATGGTCTCTTTTCATTTTGATAATTTCGAAATATGCATTCAGACTAGCCACAGTTTTTTGGATGAGTAAACACAGGGGCATTTTCAAGTTCTGTCTTATTAGTGACAGCCCTCTCAAGCTTTTACATTTCCATTCATTTTGTGGTGGTTTGAATGATCTCATTGCTTTTAAATATCATTGAGCACAGGTTTTCATTCCAACAATGTTTCTCTTTCTAAAACTTTATTCATATGTTTAGAAGGAAACCAGAGAGTAGGTTAGTGGATTTGAGATAGAAGTCTGCAATATTACTTAATGGTCTTGAACAAGTGAATCTCATTCTTTGTGTTATAGTTTACTAGTTTCTAGTGGCACACTACAAGCAGATATTGTGAAGATAAAATGAGATGTTATAGAAAGTATTTTTGGTATTTTAAATAAAATATTGTTTGGGAATACTTTATAAGCTGGTTTGGTTCAATACACATGTATATATTTGCCATTTAAACACCAGCAATGTGGCACTGATTTCTTGAATTTTATTATCTGTTACACATTTTCTATTGAGGCTGTATGTATGAATGTATTAAATTGGCCAACAGTGGTGGGCGTGGTGGTACATACCTATAATCCCAGAGGATGGGGAGGCTGAAGCAGGAGGACTGTGAATTCAAAGCCAGCCTCGGAAATATAAAATAGTGCTTAGGAGGTGGCTCGGTGGTCAAATGCCCCTGAGTTCAATCCCCGGTACCAAAAAAAAAAAAAAAAAAAAATGGCCAACAATATTTTATGGACATACTTGTTTCCTCTGCAGTACCACTGTGTTATCCCATTGTCCTGAGTTTCAAACCAGTGGACCATAGTGCAAACTTACCCACCAACCATTCTGTGCTGAGTATATCCTGAAGATGTCCAGCTTACTCCACTTGGTCTTTCAGTTTTCACTTATTGTGTTTATGGTTTTGACATATAATGGCTGGTTAAAGTTTTATGAATGATGGTGTTGAACCTTCTGAAAGAATCAAAAGAGTATCTTGTAACACATTAAAATACATATTCACAGAAGGTAAAGCCTCCTTCAGGGAAGTGGCAAAGGAAATAGAAGGTAAACTCCTTCTTCTCCACACCAGTGGAGAAGCAGGATATGGTAGAAGTCCCTTAATATTACTGAAGACATCATATGTGCCACTACAACCTGAGAGTATTAATTAGTTCTGTGATGAAGCAAATTGTTTACCAAGGCATAGCAGACTTCAGTCAACTTGAAGCAAACAGAAAAGCTGTTGGCAGCATGCCATTCCCCATCTCCATGGGTATCTGAATTCAGGAACTGTGCTTCTGAGACACAGTCCTGAGGTGCCATTTTAGGGAATGTACATCCATACAGTTCGGAGGAAGGACAGTTTTAGCAAGTTATTCCCTATTATGATACCATACTAACATGTAATGTTTGAGATGTATTATGGAGTAAATAAAATGATAGGATATTATTTACCTATAATTAACACACAAAGTATAAGAGATCAAAATTTAACAGTGGTTTGGGGTGGGGAGATAATCGAGAGGTACACAGTATCATGATGTGTAGAGGCTTTGTTATTAACATTTTTGTAGTTTTTTATTTGTTATTAAAGCAAATGTAAAAATATCTTTTTGTTTCCTTCATAAGTATTTGTCATATGTATATTTTTTGTGTGTTGGGAGGGGATGAATGAATCAAAAAGATTGTGGATACCCCCCACAAAATGCACAGGGAAGTTTGATCCACTTAAAGGCTCTCTACTTAATCTCAGATGAGTAGTAAGCAAGTAGCATGCAAAAAATGAAAAGCAATCTCTGCTCACATTTCACACTTACAAGTACTTGGGAACTGTATTTTAGTATTTCCAGCTCAATGCTTTGGTGAAATTTGTTTCTATGGAAATGCACCTTCATTTTTATGATGAGAGTCAGTAGTAGATTGGACCTTTGATAGGTGGAATGTTCATATTTCTCTTCTTATGCTTTTAGAAATTTACCTGTTTCATTATTTGAAATAATTTTATTTAGTGAAACTACATTTCCATCTAATAAAGCATCTCTCTCAATTGCAGACTCCTCTGAGATATACAAAGACTTTGTTGCTCCCAGCTGTACTTGTAGTATTCATTGCAGTCGTTAGAAAGGTATGCATGTCACTTTAGGTCTATTTCTTACAATAAAATATTCACTTGTTTTTGCATAATACTTGCATATATTTGGCTATTTAATAATCAGTGTTTTGTTTTGATTTATTGAAACATTCTATATTTTCTTATTAATAGCCTTTGATGAATGTTTAGGAATCTTAAAAATATTTTGTTCTCTGCTACTGTAACATAGACATAGGAACAGGGTGACTCAAGTTTGATAGTCATCTAGTTTTGGAAGACATGATCAGAGACTGTATTAACCCAGATACAAGTTAGTTTTGCCTATGCAAATTATTACTTTTAACTTCTATGTAATATTTCCCTCGAAATATTTAATATATACCTTTCTAGATGATTTGATTAGTGTCAGTGACTTTTGAATTGTCTTTATTCAAAAGAAAAAAAAAGAATTAACGATGTACTGATGAGCTAGATAATGTTTAGGCTTCCAGGTTGGCTTTGATAATGCAATTCTAAGCCTACATGTAAACCAAGCTCAAGAGGGTCCAGTCTTCAGGGAAGAACAGGTATGATACTCTCAATGTTTTTAGTAATTTGTAAACATTGTAACTCTTGAGTATTTTAAGAGAATGTATTGATATTAACCTGTGATCAAATAAAGAGGCAGTAAGCCCTAAAAGTTCTGATTTGTAACTAGTGATTGATGTGTTAACTCAATATCATATATTTGTAGAATATTATGGACTATAATTATTTCTCATACATTTAGTCTGTGCTTTGTACACTCTCAAAACATTTTTTACATGCACATCTCAATTGGTTATTGACATCCCTATGGGGTAGGTAGATATTACCATCCCCATTTGACACATGCTGATTTAGAAGATTATTGTGTCCACTAAAATATAAGGAAAGAACAAGATGGGCTGTACACCATCTCCTTCAGTGAGCGCTGTGTAGTTTTCAACTTTGTATTCACTTTTCAATTTCAGTCAGGTCATAGTTCCCACTGTGTGCCAGGCACATGCCTGCTTTGCTCTTTTGTATACTTACTTACTGGTGTGCACCTGGTAGATACTGAAAAAATATTGGACATTGACCATCCAGAATGTGTTCATAAGACAGCAACCTGGATGGCAAGAGATAACAGAAACTATTAGATCAGGTTAAGAAAGCTGGGGTATTTGGTTAAAGAAGAAAAGATGCAAATAGAGAAAGGATAATTATTTTCAAATATTTAAAAGTTTCCCATTTATAAGATTACATTTATTCTGGTTCCTTAAAGTTATGGCCAATTCCAGGAAGGAAAGACTTCAAACCATAAATGATCTTGGCTAATTAGGAAAGTGTTACAGATTCAAGCAGCAGCTAGGTAATATTGCCAAGGTCTGGAAACTGTTGGCAATGCTGTAGAAACATCCATATTGGGATAGGATTTAGATCAGATGACTTCCCAGTTACTATTAAGTACAACAGAATATCGAGTAATTTTGGCTTTTGAATGCTCTGACTGTAATTATGTCTGAGCCAGTTCTCTAGTTTTGTATATATGTGATTAAGGACAGATAATTCCCAACACCTTTGCATAATGGAAGCAGTACCAAATGTGGATCTGAAGCCAGAAGATCTGGTTTCAAGATCAGTAGTGCTTCTTAGTAGTTGTCTTCCTTTAGGGAGATCCTTCAGAGCTTCTTGCTTACTTACTAAAGGAGAGTAGTATAACTTACCTAATAGGAATATTGAGTACTATATATGAGCAAATATTATACAAATATAAGTTTATATTGCTGTAAATTACTATTTTTGAGTGTTCTGTTATTTCCATACTTAGCATATTTTCAACTAAGAGTTTTAAAGTTTAGAAGATGCTGTAAATTGTTTTCTTAAATAGTCTTTACTAAAGTGTTTAAAAATCTATTTACAGATTATTAGTGATATGTGGAGCATCTTAGCTAAACAACAGACACATATAAGGTAAACATGTTATTAAGAATTTTGTAGGGGCTGGGGTTGTGGCTCAGTAGTGGAGCGCTTGCCAGGCACATGTGAGGCACTGGGTTCAATTCTCAGCACCATATAAAAATAAATAAATAAATAAGAGTATTGTGTCCATCTACAACTAAAAATATTTAAAGAAAATAATTTTGTTATCTCTTCTATTTATTAGCTATTTAATTTTATATTTACGTTTTGTGTACTCAGCATTTGATAATTTATATTTTTTATTATTTTCATTCCTCCTCTTAGCTTTTCTCATTGTTCCCTGCTTGTGGAGAGCACAGCACATCAATTATGTATCCCTCACATTTTATTTACTACAATGTTACAGGAGCCCTGCACATCTTCTGTACTTGAAGGACATAGTTTTCTCAGTTAATTAGGGAAAATAAATTTTTCTGCAAGTGGTTTTTGGACCAATGAACTGCCTATTTTTGAGAAATGAGCAGTATAATATAAAACTGGGATTCATACCTCACTTTTTACATGAAGTCAATTCCAGATAAAGCCAATATTAAAATATAGTAAAAACAAAAATAAACACAGAGAATATGCTTACAATATTAGACTAAAAGCTTTTTTTTACATAAAAGATTTGTAAAAATAATATCCAGTACATACTGGAATAAATAGGTGGGAGTACAGTTTAGCAGTACATAGCAAACAATGCAGTAGGCCTGGAGTTTAGCCAGCAGGTTCCCACAATGTAAATTAATTGTATAGAAATGCTCATGGAAATGTAGAAATAATGGTAAAAATATGTTTAGTATGTTATCTATCATGGGCAATGTGAAAAAAATTAAACAACCAGAATATGTATTAGGAAGGAATTGACTTAATTTTGATCCAGTCATAGAGTGGAATGTTGAGCCATCTTGATGAAAACAGTTTCATCATCCATCAGTAGATTTAAAAATTGCCAAACAATATACATGTAGAACAATTATACTTTTATTTAAATATGAAGACTTTATATGTTTACTTATTCATAGGAGTGATCTGGAAGGATAAAATCCACAACTGTTAAGATATGGGAGTGGAAGATTGAGTGAAGGATGTTTTAATTTTATTCTTTTGAATTTGGGGATGTGGGCAGGTAGGGATTGTTGACTTACTTTTTGTGTGTCTGAATTTTCTTTTATAGCAAGAATATACACAGCGTAGTCCTTCACCTCATAATTTTTACTAACACAGTGATAGCTTATTGCATGTGCTTTTAAGGGGATCCTTGTTTTCATTTGGAAATAGTGCTATGACTGTGCTCTCACCTGAACCTGAAGCATTTGAGTTGATAGAAGAAAGGAGAAAGGTTCTGGCATATATTGACAAACTTTCTCTTCACTTGAGATAAGATTATTTCTGAAGAGCTCAGGAAGAAGCTATAAAGTTATAGCATGTAGTATGTAGCTTTGAAAGAGAAAGGTATAACTTTTCACAGAAATAAACTGTCCCATCAAGACAACTCGGCTATAGAAATACTTATAGAAAACCACTGAGCTTCATGAGGTTTTCAATTCAAGAAGAGTTAGAGCTCTTTTCTGGAAAGGAAATGGTATATTGACATTTCATTTTTGCATAAGTATCAGAGTCATGTCATGTCATAAAAAGGCAAGGAGTTCAAGATACATTTTACTGATCAAGGCATGAGGTACCCGTATTCCCTTCATTCAAAGACTTAGGAGGCAAAGTGAAGTAGAGGCAGCATCACGAGGTAGAAACTGTATGAGCTCTGAAGCCAGTCAAAATGTAGTCCTGGTAACATTTGGTAGCTGTGGAACTCCCCTTCTTTGACTGTAAATTGGAATAATAAGTGCATATTAACATTGGAAACTGCTAATTTTTATTTGTCATGAAAGAAGAAGAATGAAGGGACCATTTTCCCTCTTTTATTTATCCATATACATGCTGAGTTTGCTAATAATTTATCAATATTCTTGAGTGAAATTCCTAAATCAGATATGTCCTAAGATTACATGAAACACATGTAGGGGTTTACTGATGTATTTGTTCTTTCATTCAAAAAGTGTTGAGCTCTAAGTTTCAGGTATTGTTCTAAGTCTTGGTGACATACCAGTGAATCACAAGAGAAGATGTATATTGTCAATTCACACATTTCTATCTCTGGCTCAGACTTCTCTCCTAAACTCCAGATGACGGATTTTTTAAAAAATCATCTCTCCTTGGGTATCTAGTGAGAATCTCAAATTATACGTGTATGACCTGAACCTCTGACTGTATGCCCTACTGCCCATTCCATATGGTATCTTCATCCCCCTGATGACTCATCTCAGAAATCCTGGCCTCATTCTTGACTCTCTTCTTTATTCACTTCTACACCCAATCCATCTGCAAATCCTGCCATTGTTACCTTCAAAATTATATGCAGACTCTGAGTACCACTGAGCGCCTCCATCCTGGTCCATACCACAAGTACCTCCCCTGAATTGTTGCCTCCTGACCTCCTTGCTGACTTTCTGCCTCTGCCCTTGCTGCCCAGGCCTGTTCTTTTGTTGAAAAGCAAAAAGCCTTTCAACAGAAGGCAAACTGTGTCACTGCTGTCTTCAAGCAGTTTTCCAAATCACTTGGAATAAATCAAAGCCCTCATCCTGGTCTCTAGTGTCCTGTGTCTTTTGGCCTCTTAGCCACTGTGATCTGTCCCATCATGCTCCTCCTCATTCTCTGCTTTCCCTCTTGTCTCAACATACTGAGTTTGTGGTTAGCACATCAGAACCTCCCTGCCATGGAGCTCTTACATCCCTTTCCTCTCTCAGCCTGAAGTACTCTTCCCTTCAGGGTCTTCAGTGCTTTCCCCTTAGCTCCTTCAGGTTAAGTGGGTCCCTCACTTTCCCCATATTCTGCAGCTACAATAGAGACAACAGAAGGTTGGGGAATCATATACTAGATTTTTCTGAGCACTGGCTGTAGAATATACAGATATTCTGATGACTAGGTGATCAGGCTGGTTAATGCATGCCTTTCCAGGCACCTCATGACCCCTGCATCTTTCACTCTGTTTCCCGTTCTCTGCAGCATTTGTCACCATGTGACATGTGTATTAACTTTTTGTTTGTCTCCTTTGACTTATATGTAAGCTCTGTGAGGGTGGAAATTTTTTCTCTCTTGTTAATCCTCTATCTCCAGAGTGTTTAGTGCTCAATGAAATTGAGTGGGTAGATGGATGGATAGATTTGTACCCTGAACTCCTGAAGGGTTCACTTTAGTATAGAGAGACACACCACTAAAAAGAACATTTTCTGTGTAAGAAGGTAAGTCAGGGAAGAGGTGTAGGAATGATCAAGGTGAGGACACTGGATATAGGGTAGCCAGAGGCCTCTCTATATAGTAAGGGGTGAACTAGTCTGTGGTAAGAGCACTAGAGGCAGTATGGGAAGAGACAAGTGGGGCCAGCTTAGGAAGACCATGTGCAGTTGGTGGGATTTGCAAGTTCACATTAATTGCAAAGGGTGCCCATTGGAGACTTTAAAGACAGACTGGCACAACCACCTTACCATTTTTAAAAGATTGCTTTTACTGCTGTGATGAGAATCAATGGAGGGATAGGGAGAGATGTGGGCAGGAGTCATCAGCCTCTAAGCATGGATCTTTCTAGAGAAATGAGGGCTGTCAAGGAAAGTTAAAGGTGGAATGTTGTGCATATTTGTATATTCTACAGCCAGTGCTGAGAAAAATCTAGTATGTGATCCCCCAACCTTCAGTTGTCTCTACTGTAGCTGCAGAATATGGGGAAAGTGAGGGACCCACTTCACTGTGTGTGGGAATGTGAAGCCATAGAGTTCTTTTGCACTCTCTGTTCTGCTAGCATATCACCAGTGAGGCATATGGTACACAAAGCATGCTATTATTGTCATAATAATAAATACCAAGTAGTCATATATTCAGGATATAATACAACATTGTCATTTTAAAAAATAAACTGTCTTAAGTGGTTATAATACCAGTTTTGGTGTATAACTTTTAGTTATTTTTATTTACATATATGTGTCCTGGGGGAATACTATAGAGATTGTAAAACTCATATTCACAAAATAAAAATATAAATTAATGAAGTAAGTGCTTCAGTAATGATATAATAGCAGTATTTTTTTTTCTGTTTCAGAAAACATCAGTTTGATCATGGAGAGGTAAAGACTTAACATTACTAACATTTATCTTAATATATATATATATATATATATATATATATATATATATATATATATATATTTGATCTTCCTTTCTAGTTTTGGTTTCTTGATGTATTGGCAATGTCATTAATCATCTTCAAAATAGCCCAGTATATGTTTTTATGAGAATGCTACATGCAGATTTACTGGCCACTCATTTGTTAAAACAAGTAGGAAATTCATTTGCTCTGCTTGGATAATCCTCATAGTAACAGCAGCTGATTTCTGGAGCCCATTGAGTGAGGTGTCCTTGTGGGATTTGGTAACCACTTTTCCTCTGAGCTCACGTTGTCCTGCAGCTTCAATGTTGTGCCGCCATGTCTTTTAGAGCCAGCCTGGCTTCCTTGGCACCTCAGGAGCAATCATTTCTCTTACCACTCTCCTTGCCTTAGTTTGGTGATAACACCAAGGTAGGGTCAGAAATGTAAGCTTTATTAACAGCAGTCTTGACTTCAGTGGAATTACAGAAGTATTTGTCTTATAGACTTCAAATTTTTAGTCTTTTACTAAAATGATACAGTTTGAAAGTAAATCTTAAGAACTGCTTTAGAAATTTCAGAAATGAAAGTAGTATTAATCTTTGTTACAAAGAAAAAAGGAGCCTTTTCTGTATATTTCCCAGTTTAATGGTATATTCTTAAACTTTATGAATAGTAGGAGTAAATACTTTTTTTTTTCTTTCAGCTGGTTTATCATGCATTGCAACTGTTAGCTTATACAGCCCTTGGCATTTTGATTATGAGACTAAAACTCTTCTTGACACCACACATGTGTGTTATGGCTTCCTTGATCTGCTCTAGACAGGTAACATGGTCATAATGGTGGAGTTTTAACTGCTGTAATAATTTGACCCCAGCTTTAATTATCAAGTGGCCCTAAAGTGATGTTGAGTTACCCATGCTTCTGTAAGTCATTATAGTTAAATTTCTTTATGGTCTTGTATTCAGCTTTTTAAAGTATAAGGACTAACACTGATCACTGCCTAGTCTTCTAACTTATAAAATAGTCCTTGGCACTATTCAACACATTAATCTGTGCATGCTGAATTCATGAGGAATAAATGCAGGTGTTGATAGAAAGTAGGACTTAATTATAGAAATAATTTTCTTATATCCATATCACAAAAGAATTCTAATAATTAACTTCAAGTTATAAAAATCCTTTCAAATAATATGTTCTTGAGTATCAAGTATATTTTTCTCATTTACTGAGTGTACATTTCTATTTCTATTCCTGATTTTCACTTTTTGAAATTTAGTTTAATTCATCCTTGGTTATTTACTGCTTGTATTTTCTTGGAATTGCCCCCTTGGTCTGCATTCACTGATTTATGCTTCTCCATAGTGTCACCCTCTCATCAGTCAACGAGCCAAGGTGCAAAAGTAGCACCTCTCTCAAATTTAGCAAATATTTACTAAGCCACAGGTGTCTAGGGATGGGAATAGTAATGGACAGAAAAAAAAAAAGTATATATATGACCTCAAGAAGCTTGAGATCCAACTCTGCAGACATACAAAAAAAAAATAATTTAGGAGAGAACATTCAGAACAAAGTGCTGATATTGAAGGTGGACTATCTTAGTATGGAATAAATGACCAGCTTCAAGTTTTCCCATCAGAATGTTGGAACTGTATTGGAGGGGCACCACCTTCCCTGGTTTCTGACTTCTCTAGACTGGGCCAGGAAAGGAGGCTGATTGGGTGTCATTCATCTTCAAACCCATCCCACAATGTGCCAAGTAACAGAGAGCCTCATCCTGGGCTGGCTTCCCAGGACTGGAGCCTCTTGTGTCACCTCTGCATGGGGCCCTGAGCTCAGAAGGACCTTGCACTTGTTCTTGCTGTTTCTAACTACTTAATGATTTTGAACAAGGGCCTTTAAATTGTGTAGCTGGTCCTGGTTTTACCTGGTTATGGAGTATAGAGAGCTGGTTGAGAGAACAGCTTCTTAAGTCCTGTCCCACTTATATAAAGCTAATAGTAGAATTCTTTTGATCCTATGAATCAATGTCTCTGGAACCTTTTCTTAGGATAGTTATTCCTTATCTTGTGCTGTAGCAGAAAGTATGCTCTTTTCTGGGAAGACCTTTTCCTTATTGAATACTTGCTGTTTTGTACTAACAATTATCGATGTATTCTTAATTTGGTTTTAGTTATTTGGATGGCTCTTTTGCAAAGTGCATCCTGGTGCTGTTGTTTTTGCTGTACTAGCAGCAATGTCAATTCAAGGTTCAGCGAATCTTCAAACCCAGTGGAATATTGTAGGGGAGTTCAGCAATTTGCCACAGGAAGAACTTATAGAATGGATCAAATATAGTACCAAACCAGGTAAAAAGACATTTGATGAGAGTTTTTCTCAAAATTTTATATACTACTGAAAAACCCTCCCAAAGTTAGTTCCAGTGGTCATTGTTTCTAAGTAGTACTGCTGCTAGTGTATCCAAAAACACAGAGAAAGCATCAGATAGTAAATGTTATTCCTGACTATTATTAAATGGTTTGCAGGGAAAATGTTAATGTCATGCATCTTTTCTTGGTAATTTATTCTGCTATTTTTCCATGTATTTGAATTTTTTCAAACTTTATCCAAAACTGTAAATGCCACATTTAAAAATAAATTTATTACACTTTTTTCTTAATAAGTTTTTAGTATTAGTCCTTTACATTCCTACTTGAACTCATGGAATACAATCTTTTATTCATGTACCAAAAAGGGAACTATGATACTAGCATTGAATATTAAATCATTTAATATGATTGAATATTAAACCATTTTCCAGAATTCCTTGGTGCTATGAAACTTTCCTCATCAATTTGATATTTCTTCCCTAGAATCAGTGAGATTTCTGAGATATTGAAAAGAAAAGAAATCCTCAATGATGAGGTGATAAAGCTCTAATTTCCAAGAAAACAGTTTATCCAAGCCTAGTTGCTGACCTCTGCTTTACTGGCCACGTGGCTTCATGCTTTCTGCCACTAAATCTTTAAGTAATGAACGTCCCTGGGCCTCAGCTCTTACCTGTGAGATGATTGGGTTGAACTAGAAGGAAACCCCTTCTCACACTCGCCAGTGTCCTCCTTGGGCCTTCTGCTTGTTTCCAGATGCAGTGTTTGCAGGTGCCATGCCCACTATGGCAAGTGTGAAGTTGTCTGCCCTTCGGCCGGTTGTGAACCATCCACATTATGAAGATGCAGGCTTGAGGTTAGTACCTCTTATGTTGTTCAAAACAAATTTCCTATATAAATAGTGAGTGGAGAAACAAGCAAAATTAGGAAGTTTCAAAAAATGTGTAGTGAACTGAGATTTTCAGTTATCAGGGTTGGAATGCTGAAATAAGACTGCTATGCTAGGAAAAAAACGAAAACATAAAACAAAAGAAAACTGTTAGGCTCCCCAGGGCAGTAAGATTATAACCTTTGGAGTTGTCTTTTCTACAAGGCAGAAAGAAAGAAATCATATATCAATTGTGTGGAGGTTAACAAGTTCCAGAATACCCAGGTCCTTAGTCATTATCCTGCAGTTCCCCCAGAAAATTATTGGCTCCCAGTTTTCTTGCAGGCCATTCTTTTTGAATTCTGAGTCAGTTGAAATACAGTCTCATTCCCAGAGAGTTTTTTCTGCTTTTCACCAATTTTACCTGCTAGAATGATCCTTGGGTGTTTTTGGAGACTTTTTTCTCCCATAAATTACAAACTTGTGTTCTCTTAGAAGAGAAAATATATTTAATTTTGATGTGTATTCTAGGGTAGGGAAAGCTATTTATTTCCTAAATGATTAGGTGAATCCTCTTAGTATATTGTTTTGCATAATAGCAGGATGTAAATTTTACAAACAAAAAGCTTTTCATTTAAAAATCAATTACAATAAACTAATTTCCAGAGCAATTTTGTTAAATAAGTTTAATTTTTCATAAATCTAGAAGTCAGATGGAGGGCCATTTAATGCTGAGTGTTATTGATATCAAGTTTTGAGACTGTTGCCCTTTTAGAATAGTTCTGTTGTGTTTGTTGTAGATCATCCCTGTCCACCAAAAGGATTCTTCACTCTTATGGGTGATAGAGTGGTGAAGAATTTAAAAACAGTTAACAAACAAAAACAAAATGCTGACTTGTGTTAAAGTTGCATTCTTCTCTTAGGACTCTCGTGCTTGTCTGCCTTCAGCTTTCAACCTCATCATTGCCCCTTAGCAGAAACTACTATGAGGAATTTACTATTGTCCTGATTCTTCTGCATGATCCTTTCTTGTAGTCCCATTCCATGTTTTCTTTTAAATAATGCCAGCTCTGTCCTTTTAATCTTAAATTTTTCTGCCCACATATTTTTGTTTGAAGAGCCAGAACGAAAATAGTATACTCAATGTATAGTCGAAAAGCAGCTGAAGAAGTGAAGCAAGAATTGGTAAAGTTAAAAGTGAATTATTACATTCTAGAAGAGTCATGGTGTATAAGAAGATCCAAGTGAGTATTTAACAGAGTTAATATTTTATAATCCTGAAACATGAAGAGTCAATGTAGGCTCATGACAGGCATTTTGCTGGTGATATGTTTAAAATATATATTTATATTGTATACATATATTTTATATACATATATATTTAACACTTTGTGAAGTGGAAGTGGAAAAGCTTTTTATATTATTATTTGGAGTTGTCTTCTTTTCTAGTTGTTTTAAGTATCTTTTCTAATGATTTATTTGCACTCAGCAACTTTAAAGGGATATTAGAACTGATTGATAATCTCCCAAATTGTTCATATTTGCCTTTGATGTTTTTAAAAAACTTTTACTTAAAGCTGGATTTATTTTCTTTCAAAAGACTTCCAGAGTCTGAAACCAAATAATAGGTAGTCTCATTGTAGTAAAGTGGTCCAAGCAGCTAAGAATCAGGGCCTCTCTGGTCTAAACCACATGTCTGTACTGTGCAGTGTCCAGTGAATGGATGTGATGGATTCTCATCAACTGAGAATGAAATTTTTCCTTCTTGATATATCATGTCTTAAATGAGCAGGAAATAAATCAGCTGTGACTCATGGAGTTTATGGTTTGAAAGTTAATAGTTTTAAACAATAGTTTAAAAGTTTCTGTTCTCACAGAGTTTACTAAGCAGAGTATAGCTACAGGTATCAGTAATATCCCAAAAGCAAATGTAGATTCTGAGTTGACTGTGTAGAAATGCTACAGTTGGGTGACTAGACAGCAGATGACAGACAGAAGCCTACTATTAAAGGACCAAAGCTTTCCTCCAGGAGGAGCCCAGCTCATGAGCAGTTTCACCAGAAATCAAGACTATTTTATGGAACACTATCATCTTAAAAAGATTCTCAGTGTATCTGTTGCTATTTCTGTGCTGTATCTATAGCTTGATTATACTTTCCCACCATATACTTCATCAGTATACAAGGCTATTAAGACAAAATTGTGTGCAAATAGTTCTATTACATAACATCTACTCAGCTTTGCCCAAAAGGAAATTAAATAATTGTTAACTGCTTTTTCTATGAATATGTACCAGATTACTTGAATTTAATCAGGATTCATAGAAAATGCTATTGTTCTTATAGTTTAGAAAATGCTGTTAAGTACTTAAGACAATGTCAATTGAAATACATATGATATATATGTGAAATTCATGTACTACCTTTAATTTATAAATTTAGGACAAAAAAGATATAAGCATCTCTTATAATAGTGTTATAAGATCATTATAATAAATCAATGGTGGGCAAAATTTGCAATGGGAAGAAAGCTTCTTGAAAGAGCTTTCTACAGAATTGGGGTCTTTATTTTCTTAGGCTTCACTTTCCTTCAGGTTATTGGAACATAAAAATAATTTTTATAGTATTTTTTTCTTCTAAGTGAGCAGTGAACCTTGACTCAAGATTCTTCAATTATTTTTCTAGACCCTTTTGAATATGTGCAAATTGCAGAGGCTTTGCATTCTAAAGTGTTAGGAAAGCTCTTTGGATTTGCATAACTGTAGTAATGTCATATTCTGATAGTCAGAACATTGTTTTATGTACATAAGAAGGAATATAAAGGCAGCGGCTATTCAACTGGCTTCAGATCACTTATGAGCACTTAGCCTCACAAGCTGGGTGCTGGGTTCCCCCATCAGGACCTGGATGTGCCATAGTTGTGTTGGTTCCAGCAGGAGTCCAGAAGCATTTCTCTTTTCTGTTTTCCCCACTCATTAACACTGTCAATTACTTCAAGCTTTCAGCCAGACTGTACATGCTCTCAGGAGACCATGGGCAGGTCCACTATGAGCAATCTGAAACAATACAAAAACTGTGCTTTCTCCTCTGACCAGAAAGCAAATGGGACACTTGAGAGGAAAAGGAAGAGGAACAAATATTTATTTCATGTTGATATCTACAGTATAAAGAACTGAGTTTCTTTTTTTTTTTTTTTTACTTATTTAGTTGTAGATAGACACAATACCTTTATTTTATTTATTTATTTTTATGTGGTGCTGGGATCAAACCCAGTGCCACACATGTGCTAGGCAAGCACTCCAACACTGAGCTACAACTCCAGCCCAGAACTGAGTTTCTTGACAAAACTTTCTACCAGAATTGGGGTTTTCTTTTTCGCTGTGACCTTCACTCTCCATTGGTTATGCCAGCCGGGTACACTTTTAGATTATTGGAATATAAAAATATGTCAGAACCTGGGAAGGAAATGGGAACTCAGAAAAGGAAAAGGAAGAGGGACTAATGCTTATTCAGTGCTTAATTTGTGCCTGGCACATTTATGAGCACTGAATGTACATGATCTCATTGCAAGTGGCTTCATTAATGCCTTGATTAGTCCTTGAATACATCACACTCTGTCTACAAATACAAATACTAAAATACACCTGAATGTAAATTGTAGGTGAGTTTTTAGCACACTACTCTTTTATTTTCAGTTCCCTGTTTTTTTTTCAGTAAGTCTAATTTTAGAGTGGACATAAAATTAAAAGTAAAATACATATATTCAGAAGAAAATAACTCAGATTCTCATTAGTGCTTTTTTTTTTTTTTTTAAGATGAGGTTTCCCTATATTTCCTAGGTTGTTTGCACTCCTATCCTTAGATAGCAGGGACTACAGGTGTGGACTGACTACCATGTCCAGCATCACTAATGTTATTAGAAAATACAGCTGACTAGCCTGGGGAAACCTCAGGGAATTCACAGAAGGACTGAAGGGCATTGTAGCAGGCTCATAGAGCTCACAAAAGCAGCTTTTTGTCCATTCTTTTTCCTAAAAGCTGTCCAACTCTGGAAAACTCAGGGTAGTTTTCTACTTCCTATATTACTCACTATTTACCATTTCTGGCTCTTCAGTGTTGTAATAGATTGATCTTGACTTGCTTGGAAATTAAAATGTGGAAACCCCAAGCCCAGCCATATTATCATAGATGTTCAAGATGCATGGAATTCAGTATTATTGAGGACACACCCAAAAATATGCACTGGAACCCACCTTATAGGGATATTTATTGGCAAAACTTCCCTGAGAGTTAATCTGACAAAATGAAAAGTTGTATAGTTCTTTGACTGAATGATAATGCTGCTTCCAGATGTTTAACTTAAAAAAGAAAGATAGGCATAGAAATGTTGATAATAGCATTGCTTTTAATTATAAAATTGAAAACAATTATATTTTTAAAGGAAAAGTTAAATAACACTAATCTAAAAACTATTAAAACCAATGAAGTAGGTTTTTATGTACTAAGGTGGGGAAAATGGCCTCATTTTATTTTTCCAAGTTTTAAAATAATCCCATTTCTATGAAAACAACCCTGGAACATCTGTGTATATAAATATTTTCTTGTCTGTAATTGTTTATGTGTATGATCATATAAAAAGGTTTTGCAGAATATATGTTGAATGCTTATTAGATGTCACCTCTGGGAAATAACTTTGGAGATAACAGTGACTTTCAGTTTTTTACTTTGTTTAGTTCTGTATTTTGATGTTTTTATAACGGCAAATTACTTTAAGGTTAAAGCTGTTATTAAAAAAGAGGAAGCAGCTACTCTCCTACTACATTGGGGAAAGCTGGGTGAGATTGCCACGGAACTCCCAGAACTCGTTGGAAATGTTTTTTTCTGTTATTTCAAAAACAAGTGAAGCAGCTATAACAAAACATAAGCAGTGGTCAATTCTCTATAGTTTTTCTGTTTTGTAAGATTTCTCCAGAACCAAATAAGAAAGTGAATTTTATCAAACTCTAGAACCTTGTATCTGTGAAAAGTGTTTTTGATTTAAAATAAAGGATGAAGCTTTTTTGAAGCACTTATTTAGGCAAATATTACTTGGTACCAAACTCTCTCACACCATTCTTTATAAAAATGTATTGCTTTTAAGATTGAATTCTTCATTTTGCTAAGATATAAACTTAAAACTACAAATTTTCTTTAAATTCATGCATGTAGAATATAATTAATGCAACTTCCCTATAAACTGAACATAATTACCATTTATAATTTTTAAAAAAAATCAATACACACTTTTATGTGCTGGGCATGATGCTAGATATCTGGTTTCTCTCAATCCTCACAACAAATTTATGTCATGGGCATTTCACAAATGTGGAAACTGAGATGAGTGAAGGAAACAGCCCAACACTTCATTCTTGGTAAATAACTGGGACAGAATTTCACTGAGGTATCTCTTGTTCCAGCATCTGCATGCATGTATTCTGCAGGTCTGTTTTCTTTTTTTATAGTCACTTCTGCTGCATTACCTTGTCCTAAAGAGGAATTACAGCAGATTACCAAAATATAAATAACTGTCATTTTTTAAAACTAAGTTAAGAAGAAAAAAATGAGATGAGATCAGGAATATAAAAAGTATGCTCTGCTTTATCTGTAGATATATAATGTGCACTGATTTTTAATGGGTACATTCATTTTTTCCTAGGCCTGGTTGCAGCATGCCTGAAATTTGGGATGTGGAAGATCCTGCCAATGCTGGGAAAACTCCCTTATGTAATCTCTTGGTGAAGGAATCAAAGCCTCACTTCACCACTGTATTCCAGAACAGTGTTTACAAAGTTCTAGAAGTTATAAAAGAATGACTACTACTTCATGACCTGCCTCCTACAGAGAATTACATCAGTAATGGTTTTAATGTTTTGCTAATAAGTCATGTATTGTTTTTAATTCAAATCCCCAAAATTTTTATAGGTAACTGTTTTCAAATAGAAAACATTTTATTTGGTAAATTTGAATGTTATTCTGATTGTGAAAATGGCATATACCCTCATCAGTTGGTTACCATTTTAATGCACCTCTTAAAATTTGCTATGCAAATGAGTATATGCTTGTACTTGACTTCAATATTTGTGCTAAAGTGAGCAAAGCCAGCTGTGTAAAAAATATATGATGGTCATGACAAAGGCCATATGAAAAATGTAATCAGTTCTGAATTCTGTTGGGGCTTCCCTTACAGTTTGTGGACTATTAACGCCCCTTGCTTACTTCTTCGCCTCCTGCTCTTGTCTTTGGACAGTGCAGTGTTCATGTAGGTTTTCAGTCCCGCCAGCCCTCTCATTACTTGAGTTCTAGTAAATGGCACAAATGTGGGTATTTGCTTTCTGGAATTATCTGTTCATCTCATTTCCTCGTGTTCATTTTGTTCTCTATTGCTCTTGTGAATGAGGCCTTTTCTGCCCATTTTTAATCCAGACTCTTGAAGCTAATGGTTAGGACCAAATCCCTCTAACTTCCAACCATATGGCATTCTTGTGTCTCTATACCACTCACAAGGTTTTTTCAGATAAGTGCTATTTACCCAAGTTGCTTATCAAGTACTTATTCTTAGTAAAAATAATAATAATAATAATAATAATAATAATAATAATAATAATGGTAACTGTATTTTTCTCATTTTTAGTATTATTCAAATGTTTATATTTTAATGACTTTAAACCACTTTAAAATTTTTTCATGTTTAATTCTAGTTTAAAAAAAAAAACAAACTATTTTGAACAACCCCAAATATATTGCATCTACAAACTAATGTATATTCAGGTTGACATAATATATGGTAGACTGTAGCATATGGTAATTCTTCTTTTACTACTAAGATACAATGAAACATGACTAATTTTTTCTGTCAAAAAAGTAAACAAATAATGATAACGAATGAGTTTTTCTGTTTTACTTTCAGATTGCCTGTCTTTATTAAGACAAAGCCTTAAGCCTTATGTTATAATTTTGGTTCTAAAAACCATTATTTGAGTATGAGGAATAAGTACATTCCATCTTCTTCTTTATCCTTTTCTATTTTTATTTTGAAAAATTTCCAAACCTGCTTTGAATTCCTCATATAAATTTTTGTTTCTTAGAAATTAATTTGTGTGAAGTGAAATTGTTCAAAATGATGAATCTTCATTATTTTGAGAAAGGGTTTTTCAGGTTTTAAATTCTAAGCAAACCATGATTATGGCTGACTACACATTTAATTATACAGTGTTCTCTTTATTAACCACAGGCAGATTAACCTCATTGTGGATTGTCCTTGAGACCTGAGTCCTCAGGGATGGTTTCCGGTGACCACTCCTGGGAGCCACAGAAGAGCTGTTCTCTTTCTGCCTTCTTACCAGAGCCCAAGGACAAGCCTGGTCTGGGGGAAGCACTAGTTTGCTTGTATTGGTCAGCTGCAAAAGAGAGCATGCACAGCTGAGTGTACCCTCCGAGAGGGGCACCATCTCCAGCCTTGCCCCAGAGCCGGCACCTCCCAGGGCTTCTCCTTACCTGGAGTCAGCTCAGGAGATTGCTTCTGTCAGTGTTCTGTAGATGTACAGTCACTCTTTTTCATTTGCTACTCGACCATCTTATTTCTTAGGCTTTGCCAGTTGCCCAAAAGTAGGGAAGCAGCTGGGGAATTTTTGGATTAGGAGTAACATTTGATCAATAATGCAGCAATCCAGAAAAAATGGGAAGAAGGCATTTGGGGCTGAAGAGGAGAGTCAACATGGGTGGGAGAGGGCAGGTGTGTGCTGCATTATCTGCAGTTGTTCCTCAACAAGTGCACCTGCTGTTGCATATCCAGCAGTTCAGGATAGTTTTTCAACCGTACTTTTAAAGTCATTCTCTATTCTTCTCACCCTCTAACAATTCCCTTCCTAGTAAGTTCACATGTAATGATTGGAAATTCTGTACAGCAAACAAAACATTAAAATACTGTTACAAATTGTTTCATATGCTGGGAAACATTAAAAGCAGTCTAAATTAGTTTTTTCCAGAAGAATTATTTTGTAACAATATTTCTTAATGTAACTCCACCAGCAGTCTCTGCTTCTATTTTAGGTGAGTCTGTTTAGAGCAGAAGCCTGAGGGACCATGGCACACTCAGCCTTGAGCACCTCCAGTAGCAGCCGGTGCTGTAGGATATTAAATACTTTCATGGTAACATGGAGTAGTAGTAGGTTCAGTATACATGACAAAGCAGTATTAAAATTCAGTATTTTACATGTTTTTAGCACTTAAAAATATTTTTGTTTTAGTATGGGAAAAGGAAAGATGGGCAAAGAGGCGATTGAAAATGCTATTGCTATGATATTTTTAAAAACAAAGCTGGGGCAGTGTTTCCATAAAAAGATAAGCCTCCAAAAATGCTTGGCAGAAAAAGTGCTGTTTAAAGTAGGCCAGTGACATTAAGGAGAAAATGAAAGGATGTATCAGGAATAAATTGATATTGTGTAGGAGTATTGTATTTTTATGAATTTTATGCCACTTGTTTACATGTACTATCTATGTTAAATAAAAAAGATCATGAAAACGTAGGAAGTGGTTTTCTTGCCTCTATTTTCATTTCTACCTTGACAGTGAACATGTGAAGTCTTCTTTTATAGTCAGATAACTATGAACTGGTTTGACTCAGATTGCAGTTTTTAAAAAAAGGAAGAAACTTTAGTATGTTCCATGAAACTCCTGTTCTTCATTGGTGATGATAGGCACGGGGATTATCAGACGTTTCTTATATTTATGGCAAGAGTCACTGGTACTGCTTTATATCATTTTCAGCAAGGGACATAAGCATTAGGGATAAATACATAGTGGCTAAAAGTTTTATTTTTTTTTTATATATTAAACTGCAATTTGGTATCTTGCTTTGGTGTCTAAATTGTAACTCCATGTTTTTGCATTATTTTTCCCCCCCTTTGGAGGAAAGTCAGTTTAGCTTTGTTCATTCCTGCATAACTAATTTCCTAACAGGGACACCTTAATTCTGACATCTTTGGGACATGAGATTTTCTAACCCAGTCCTTCTCAAAATAAGCAGGCATCAGAATCACCTGGAAAATCCACATTGTTGGCCCCCCCACAAAAGTCCTGATTCCCTTGGCCTAAGATGGAGATCATAGAATTTGCATTTCTTAGGTGGCATTGTCTTAGGATGACACTTGAGAACAGCTGCTCCATACCTGAAAGGCTGGCCTCTAAGGCATATTCCATTCCTAACATGACATCCTACTCATGCACATTTGGGTTATTTCAATGTCTGGAACTAATTATTCATAGTTCCTGTTTTAACTCTTGGAAGGCATTTTTCAGTTGGTCTTGCAAGGAGCAAACAAAAAACTTTTTTAAACTTTTTATTTTTAAAATTTATTTATTCTAATTAGGTATGTAGGACAGCAGAATGCATTTTGATTCATTATACACAAATGGAGCACAACTTTTCATTTCTCTGGTTGTACATGATGTAGCATCATGCCATATGTGCAGTCATACATACACCTAGGGTAATGATGTTCATCTCATTCCACCATCTTTCCTGTCCCCCTGCCTCCTCCCCTTCCCTCTTCCCCTTTGCCCAAAGTTCCTCCATTTTTTCCCACCCCAACCCCCCATTATGGATTAGCATCCACTTTTCAGAGAGAACATTTGGCCTTTGGTTTTTTGGGATTGACTTACTTTGCTCAGCATGATAAACTTCAAACTCCATCCATTTACCTGCAAATTCCATAATTCTATTCTCTCTAAATGCTCAGTAATATTCTGTTGTGTATATGTACCACAGTTACTTTATCCTTTCATGTATTGAAGGGCATCTAGGTTGGTTCCACAGTTATCTATTGTGAATTGAGCTGCTGTAAACATTGTTGTGGCTGTGTCATTATAGTATGCTGATTTTAAGTCCTTTGGTGTAGACCGAGGAGTTTGATAGCAGGGTCAAATGGTAATTTTTAACTAGAGTACTTTGGGGTTATGGATTGTTTATTATTTATTTATTTGTACTAGGACTGAACCCAGTGATACTTAACTGCTAAGCCACATTTCCAACCCTTTTTTAATTTTTTATATTGAGATAGGGTCTCTTAAGTTGCTTAGAGTCTTGCTCAGTTGTTGAGGTTAGCTTTGAATTCTCTATCTTCCTGCCTCAGCCTCCCAAGCGCTGGGATTATGGGCATGCACCACCACACCTGACTGTCATTTAAATATTTTGAAGTTGTAAATTAGTCCTTGTTTCTTTTCAGTTTAGAGGTGAGATGTTTTGAAATACAACTTTCTTTTGTAATGTTACTTTGCCTAAGAGAAAAGAGGTATACTTAGTTATGTGTGGTTACTAAACAAAACAAACACAAACATTTTTTCTACTTTATTACTTTTGTTTTGGCCCCAGAAATTTTCAGTCTTCTCCCTCTATTAAAGGGCAGCTGAGAATCAGTATGAGGTCACAGAGTGCCTACTTCTCTTTTCTGCCTTCCCCTTCTCCAGCCCCCAACTACAAGTTCCTAATTTAAATCAGTAAAATTGCTCTCAGAGCAGAAAAAGAGGAGCTACTTTTAAACTTCATTCCACTCTTGAATTGGTTTTTATTTCAAAGCACTATATCAGGACAAATATGTTTTTGCATTCCAAGTTGGAAGGAATATTATGATACAGAATGGTCTTGGAAACTCCTTTTATATTTCTCTCATGAGAGGGATTTTAGAATTTTGAATGAATGGGAGAGTTGAAGACTATTTCTCTTAAGATTTTGAGTCATTGTTGTATAACTAAGATAAGATTTTTCTTTTTTTAATTAAGAGATCAGGATAGCATTGTATTGGCATTGCTTTCAAAACAGATGTTTTCTGTGCTCAGTTTCCTCTAACTGGAAACTCTAATTACTCTAAACACAATGTTGTCAAAATGACTTTCAAATAAATGGTAATGATACACAATATTCTGTTTACCTAGGCATGCTCTCTTTAATACAGTGTAATATCATCTCATTGATTTTTAATACCTAGGTGCTGTTTTTTATTTGTTGTCTGCATATTTAATAACTGGAGGAAAGAGTTGAATTAAACAAAATTAAGCTCACTTAGTTGTTATACGGATTGCTTTGACAGCTGTAATCCTTATCCATTTATTTTAAAAGTGGAAATGAATATTTAAAAATTACCATTTCTGAATGGATTTGGCACCATGCTGTGGGAACTGATTAAAGGAGAAAAAAACGTTGCAGCTGACTCTTGAGCCCATTTTTATTGGCTGAGCTGTCCTGGAATGTGAGGTTCTGTGTTGACCGTTTAGGTCTTCCCTTTTGGCATCTCTTATTCACCAGACTTTATCTTCAGATATTTCCTCTTGCCCAGGAAAATCTTTTTCCCAGGAGATGCAATATAGATTACCCTCCAGCCCTTTACATGGATAATAAATTTGGCATTTTCTATCAAAAGTCTCTATGGCAGTTATTCTCAAACTTGTTTGCACAATGAAATTACTTGGGAATTTAAAAGATCCTGAAGTTTCCCACCCTCAGAGGGGTTTGCTCTGTGATTTGGAATTTTTTATGTCTCCAGTGATTCTGATACACAGTGCTAACATTTTAGAACCTGCCTTGCCTGCTTCACCTCCCTGTATCCACTCTTCCCAAAGCTGTCCAATCAAAGCACAAATGGTGAGCAAGTCTCTCAGCTATATATTCTTTTGTTATTAGTGAATGACAGCTAATATTTACATTATACTAATTATGGAACCTAGTGTTGAGTAGTTTATTAAGGAAAGAATTTGTTCACTTTAATTCTCAGGTCATAACACTTATTTGCGAGCCCTGATTGGAGTGTCAATGAGAAATCCAAAATAGAAAAAAAAAAAATGTGGAGGACAACACACATTTCTTCTCTATGGAGTTGCTTTCTTCTTTTTCCTAGAATATGCTTTCCTTGATCAGTGTCTACTTCAAGATGTAACTTAAATGTCACCTCCTATGTGAAGCCTGCCCCAACTACCTACCCCTTGACTGAGTGAAATCCCCCCCACCCAAACTACCTATGCTCCCACCTCCCCTACATCACACACGTGCACAATCATTGACATTTTCTTCCTACTGTATTGTATCTTTACAGATGGAACATATGTCTTATTCCATCCCAAATCCACAGTGCCTCCTAACACAGTTCCTGGCAAGTGATACTGCTTAATGATTTTTGAAATAAGCCACACTTTATACTACAACGTGGTAAATTCCAGATGGCACTAAAAAAAATATTTTTAAAACTAGATGAAATAGAAGTTAATGTATTCTAGCCATGGAGGAAAAGAAAACACAGAGCGTTTTCAGATGAGATTAATACTATAGAAGAAAAAATGTTCTTGACAAACAACTAGGCACAAATTGACTCCATAACATACCTTGGCGAGGAACATTGGAAAACAATATGGCAAAGAGGTATATCTGACTACTGGTCAGTGAACCAGGTCTTCATTGACCTGGGTTTGGTTGTTTGACAAACTATGATGGCCAGCCCTGGGCACATTTGTTACTGATCAGGGAGCAGAGAGCCCTGGTAATTTGGTGAAAGTGGCAGTCGGGATTTCCTGAAGGAGGGGAAGAGACTGGTGTGTTGTTATTAGGTGAAGATGTTAGGTAAAACAGATGACAGCAGTTGCACAATTACTATTATCATAATAGATAATAAGCAACTAGATTGGAATTCTGGATTCATACTTTACATACTATGTGAGACAGGACTGTTTCTTCATTTGAGCATTAGTTGTCTTTCAAAAGAATATGCCTTTTAGTGTAGGAAATAGAAATATGAGGAAGAGATGAACCCAAACCACAGGAGGGAATTTTAACTCATCTCCCTTCAAAACTGATATAATAAGCCAGTAGATCAGTAAGAAAATGCATGATTTGAGTAATTAGAAAAGCAATCTTGACTTAATGCTCAGATATAGGACAACTATACCCCACAAACATAGAATATACATTCTATTCATACATAGGACATTTCTGAGAATTGATAATAAAACGAGCTCTAGGGAAGGAAAACTTTTTTCTGTGCTTTGTTCACCAATATAACACAAACTCTAGAATAGTGTACTTTGCATACCCTAAAACTGGAAATCAATACAAAATGAAGAAACACTATTTTAAATAATCCATGAGCCAAAATACTTATGATAATATGAGAAAAAAATAAGACAAAAATATACCACAAATAGCATAGGGAGCATGGTTAAAGCAGGTCTAGAGATCTAAGGGGGTTTTGCCCCCCCCTTTAATTCTAAAATGCACACATTAGGCCAAAAATATCTGTGTCAGGTATGTAAATAATAGTGGAATAACTACAAACACCCCTCATTGAAGGAAATAAGGAGTAAAAATTGATTAAATAGAGATCAAGAACATCGAAATTGATTATTTGAAATCATCAAGAGCAAAGTGAGAAGGCATAGGAAACTAGCTAATGGCAAATAACAGAAGCTACAGAGAATAAACAGAGAAGAGGAGAATATTACAAACAATGCAAATAAATTTGGATACAGACCCCCACACCTGTTT